AATCATCACGTACAGCGGCAGCAACTTTCTTGTGGTTGTTAGTTGTAGCAAGTGTTATGTCTCTGAGGCCGTCGTGTGTAGTTTGTCGCCATATTCCAGGTACAATTCTGCCTTCCTCCCATAATTCAACATCAATCAATCCCTCAGTTACGTATGGTGCTTTGCAAGTAGAGGTTTGTCTGAGCCAATTATGAAGAACACAAGTAGCTTTCACCAGTAATTCAGTTGTTTCTACTTTGAGAGGAATAGGCTTTTCGAATACTCGAAAACGAGACACAAGTATGCCAAATGCATTTTCTGATAGGCGACGAGCTCGAGATAGCCGATAATTAAATACCCTTTCCTTCCTAGTTAATGATTTCTTGCTATAAGGTTTCAAAAGATAGGTTCTAAGAGGAAAAGCGTCGTCCCCAAGAAAAACACCATTTTCAGGTATATTTAACAAATTGTTCTCCAGAGCTTCGTTAAATGTACATTTGGAAAACACTAATGCGTCATTTGCTCTGCCATTTGTACCGACGTCAATATATAGGAAGTTATAATTAGCATCCACAATTGCAAAAAGAATAGTGCTGAACGTTTGTTTATAATTGAAAAAATACGATCCCGACTTCGCAGGACAGCGAATAGCAATATGTTTCCCGTCCATAGCGCCACAGCAATTAGGGAAGTTCCAAAGGGTATAATATTCCTTCATTACTTTTGTCCATTCATTAGTAGTGGTAGGCACCTGTAAAAGACAAAACTGTATACGTATGTGTATTATAAGTGGGTAAAAATTCGAGCAACTTCGTTTTGTATGATAATATGCGGTATCTGTTTCAGGTTCCGAAATGTAAAAGGAGCCCAACGCCACAGAATCCAGATACTGAAGATGTCAATTATGAAGGAAATAATACTGATACCGAGGTTATCATACCTGCGGCAGCAAATGATGTCATACCGACAGATGATGGAGTACTACCTAAAGAAAGCGAACTGGCACAGCATAACAAACGAATCAGAAAAGAGAGTCCCCAAGCAAATTTGAACACCCCATTTTCAAAAAAGCATCGTTTTTCTGGAATTTCAGCTATTGAAAAAGCAATAGATAAATTAAGTGCAATTGCTGCACAGAATGCAAGCACAGATAACGAATTTGATCATTTTTGTCGAAGCCTGTCAGTTCAGCTTAAAACCATGCCTCTGGACCGCGCCCTGATATGTCAAGAAAAGCTGCAAAAGGTTATGATGGAAGAGCGCATGTATCTCTTCAACTTAGAACAGACTCGCTCAAAGGAATCTACTCCATCACTGTATACAGTATATTCGACTAACAGTGAGACGTCAGTTTCTACACCGACTACTACAATGGAAAGATATGAAGAGAGTGCTCCTTATGATATATTATCCGAAGCATTCTCGACTATTCACAATTACCAATGAATTTATGTTTGATTTTAATTTTTGAATAAAATGCCTTTTGGATAAAGTTTTAATACGTTTTTTTTTTAAATATGTAAGAAAGAATCTAATTAGGTACTAACCTTGATACAGTATTCAAGTATTTCGTAAATAGCAGCTAATACTTCTGGCATAAAATGGGAAATGGAGCATTTAGGTACACGATACAAAGCTTCGAGTGTTGAAAAGCAATCTCCTGCTGCAAGATATCTTAGTACAATTTGCAATTTCAGTCTTGGATGAAGAGATTCTCTCATGGTTGTGCTTTGCTTTTGAATTAACGGTGTGACTTTGGTAAGTAGCTCTTCAAATTGCACTTCAGACATTCTTAGATGGTTTTGTAACATGGCTTGATCTTCTGTAGACCATTCCTTTAACAAACACGTTGACGCCCCCATTTTGTAGCGTCGAAGTATCCACGGCCTTACCCACCAACGTCGTTTTTTTCTAATCTTCTGTTTTTCAAGTACATTTTCAAGTTCATTTAAAAGATATTCACTTATTATACCAATTCCAGCACGTACAACTTCGGTCGGCGCCATTTGTAAGTGAACAGACTAGTTCAGTCTTGGTGATACATGTAAACGATAATTACTTTCATCGTCGTAGTCACTTTGGATGATTCATCCGGGATGATCATCCAAAGTGTACCGTGAAAACGGGCCTTAAGTTCCGTACGTACGTTTCGAATCATCCACATTGTTCAACCGAATTGAATGAAGAATAAATTGAAGCGTGTATATGTCGCACATTGAAATCAAAAGTGGCACTATATAAAAAAACTCAATTTTACAGTATAGCTGTTTAAAGTTTTTTACCATGATTTTTATGCCCAGACTTAAAAATAAATTGAAAACAAGCAATGTGATTAGTTTTAAATAATAATTTAATTATCTCTTTTTCAGTATAAAATAACGTTTAAATAAATTAATAGTGTTTGTTGAACAAAAAGGTATTTGAAAAAAAAAAAATTCAGTATAGTGTCACTTTTGTTTTTATACAATCAAGTAATTTTTGTTTAATGGCATATTTAATTCATTAACTCTTCTACTATTCTACTACTCCAAAATAGTAAATGCATGTCAGGAATAAAATAAAAACTAATTTTAGATGAATAAATTATTTATTTGTATGTACTACAAATGAAAGTCTTATTTGAATCAGTCACGACAATATCACGCAATGGTTTAATTAAAATCAAATATTTTAAGACTATCAAAATAAACTAAGAAAATAAGCGAATCGTAACAAAAAATGCAAATAGGCATTTGTAAAAATGTGATACTACTTAAGAGCTATTACATTTTCAATTAAAAATACTTTCATAGTAGGATCGGTAATATCCAGGAATCAACCCCGCATCCACAAGACTTCTCACGTCATTTTTCTTCCTTTCGGATATATCCAATTTTTGGTGGTAAAATGGTTTAAGTTCTTGAGGTCGGCTGTTTCTGGATGTTCTTTTTGCCAAATCAAGTTCCTTGAAGTCATCAAAATAAGAAATTTTATAGAATATTTTAATCCCATTCATTACGTTCTTTTCAATTTTAATGACTTTTATATCAAACAACTTTACAATCACACCATCAACACTCCTATTCAGCTTAATAACTGGCAGTTGTTTCAAATCCATAAAATCTTCGTATCCCATCTCATTTACAATGTACTGCATCCCACGTTTTTTCGAACTTCTGATGGCACAGGCGTATTGGGAAGGTACGTAAATGGGTCCAGATTTAAGACTTTTTTTTACTTCCTTCTCAATCGTTGAATGTACTGCGTTCCCTTAATTTTGTGTGTGGCCTCGGATTAAGAACTTATGGGTTATTAATTTTACTTTAAGATTTAATACTGCATAGACGCACATTCCAATGATAAACTGGTTCTTCTGTTGGCTACAGCAGTTATCAGAATAGAACACTATATCAAGATATTTATTAGAGAAAGAAGACTTCTTTTGCAAAAACTTCAAAACACAGCTACCTATTTCATTGGCTCCACGATTGCTTGAGATTCATCCAAAAGTAACATTCAACATTGTCTGTTTTTACCTCCACGATATGGTAAAATGCAAACAATTTATTTTGGACTTATAATAGAATGTTGATACGTCTCCTTTAGAAACGGTTATTACCGCTTGTAAGTCATAGCATGCAACGATAAAACAATGTGTCACTTTTAATAATTTTAATATCCTAATTATCTAATTAAATATACATTTTTAAATAAAACAATGACACTTTACTTAAAATGACGTCTATTTAATATGGCAATAAATTAAAATATGACAATTAAACCACAAAATGACACTAAGCACAATATGCCCCTTATTTATTCTATATAAACACAGTTATCTGGAATAGTTGAGTAAAATATCGCACTTTACAAAATATGCCAATAACGAAATCATAATTTGTTGTATTTTTACTATAAAGTAATTAAAAAAACGACATTATACAAAATATGTCACTTTTTCACTCTCCTCAGCTAAGACTGGTTGCGGCGGCTGGACCTTTACTGGTTTAGTGTCGGTTTATCGGTCACGACCCATGCTCACGACAACAAAGTAAGAAGTGACATTAGCGATGTCTACAGAAAACGAGCAAGCTATTACAACGGAGATCTTTGCAACAGACGTAGTTTTGCTCGTAGATTTTAGATGTCGCTGTAACTAAAAACCACCGAATTTTGTATAATGCCACTTTTGATTTCAATGTGCGATGTATGCTTTTCAATTTGATTGAACAATGTAATTGAATCATCCACATTGTTCAACCGAATTGAATGGTGTATTTCCGCCTTTAGATGTAAATATAAATTATATATTCAATTAATCATACCCCGAAACTACAACTAACGGTGTTTGAAAGAGATAGTGAGGGAGGGGGTAAGAGAAAGGAAAACCTTTCCAGATGGAAAAAAAATGCTGATAAAATGTCTACCATTTTTTTATTACGAATATTTTCGACTAATGTTGTTAACTAATAATATACCCATTATTTAAAAAGTTTTATACAGATCGGACCATTTTTGGAGCCTTTTTTTTCTACTCTCTATAATATATTTTTATTCTCAGCCAAGAAAAAGCGCGCGAAATATATGATTAGGTTTATGTTTGCTTACTTTTATAGTATCTGTTTACATATGTAACTGTCTAAAGGTCGATTCAGACACATCAGTCACGCCTCGTCACAGTCCTGGCGCCGAACCGAACAATCCGTCATACAAAATATCCTTTAATAGAAATATGGCGCCGGCATTCACATTCATCAGACGACGAACAGTTTCCCAGCTGTCAAATGATTAATAGTTCTGTGACCAAACAGGACCGGTTCGGCGCCGAGACTGTGACGGGACTGATGTGTCTGAATCTACCCTAAATGGGTTTTTATTGGCCGTGATAGATTATAGATACTATTTATGTTCTCTTTCCTTATAGTGTGGGGGCAAATGGGGTTTCGTGGTCGTTTGATGTCCTGATGAAACCGAATCTTTTATAATTCGAATTGACTTGCATTTTATTGTTTTTTACATTTATGACATATGTACTTTTTTAGTTTCAGCTTCTCGACGGAGACTTGACCGAAGTAGATTCTTCGGGAACATGCACAACATCTTACTCTTCTTCCTCTCCAAGTAAATTTTCAAAGATTAAAACTAACTGCAAATCTGATGACTTACCATATACACAAAATAAACATAACATGTTAGGAGTGGAAGTAGAATCAAGTCGAATCACAGAATACGAATTAGGTTCAAATGCCTTTGAAATAAAATCTATAACGTCTAAAGACAGTCACATTGCTTATTTGGCAGCTAGAGAAGAAATGGGCAACCACATTGAATCAGAACAGACTATAACTTTAACAGATACAAGTACATCAAAATCCTTTGAAGGGATCAACATTGAAGAAGTTGTTGAAAAAATAGGCAAAACGTCTGGTATTAGCTTTAATCAAGAAACCTTATTGACCGAAAAGGAACCAGTTACATCTGAGGAGATCATAAGTTTTACCAAAACAATTGAGAACCTCAGGAATCAATTAAAAAATGAGAATATCGGAACTCTAAAACAGGCCAAAGCTCACATTGAAGCAGTTAATGCTGGAAGATTAGCGAAAAAGGAAGACATTTTGAAAGCTCTTTCATCGAAAAAGAATAAAAATATACTGTAAGTATTGTTGAACTGGACAATGTATTTTATAAATTAACCATTACATTCAATTCAAATTTTTAAATTTTAAAGTTCTGTAAACACTCTGTATACTATATTACTTCGAAAAATGTTACAAAAAATACCATACAATGAAAACAAAACATATGATATTTATATTGTTACAAAATAACTGGAGAATATGCTTAACCGAACAACTTTTTTATTTGAAAAAATATCAAAGCTTTTTTACACAAAAAGTATGTATTTATATTTTCTTATACTATTTGTTTTCTAATATTAACTTTATTATACAAAATAAGATTTATATCTTCTTCTTCTTCAAGTGCCATCTATGCGGTGGAGGTCGGCAATCATCATAGCTATTCGGACTTATGAGACGGCTGCTCTGAAAAGTTCATTTGATGTACATCCGTATCACTCTCTCAGGTTGCGCAGCCATGACATTCTACGCCCCCCTAGATTTATATATTTACTCTTTATCAACTAAATCCATTATTTGAAGCTTTATTTCTTTCGTTATATTTCATTCAGACACTGATTCAAAACAAAGTTCTAATAAAATCCGCACATTTACAACGATGTAAACACTAGCACCTTCACCTAGAATTATTTCTGTACACTGTTTAATACCCGCGAAAAATAAAGTATAATTATTGTCATAAAATTGAAGCGACAGTTACGGTATTTTAATATACACACGGTGAAGAAAAGGAAGTATGAGTTAGAGGTGCACCGGCAAGTGACTAATCAATACTTAGCCACGGAATATGTCTGTATCATATTAAAACTCTAAAATCGGTAAGAAAACTGACACTAAATCAACGCTCTAGCAGAAGCGGTTGGCCACTGGAGAAACTGGATTCTCTTGCGACGTACACTGTTTTATGCGGTTTTCGGAGGTCCATCTCTAGCGAGCATCGATGAATGTAGAACTCAGCCACAGTATAAAGAGTAGAGTTTCCATCCTGGCCATCCATCCATGGAACCTCTTTATACTGTGACTCAGCGATGGGAGTGTGTGCACGTCTGTGTACGAGGCGTTGACGGGACGAAGCGATAGCTGGAGATGCACATCGTTACAGTGTTTTATCGTATACTTTCTTATTTTGTCTTATTTAAACAATTTCTAATTATTCTGTAATTCATTATCTTCAATATATAGAACAGAATTATATTATATAACAAATATATTTGTAGCTACAGAATGCTTGTTTAATTTAATTTATTTTGATTATAGGTCTCAGCTCTATGACATCTTAGGTTACGTACAAACTCAAGATTCACACGAAGCTGTAATGAAGAACCTACATTTCGATAATGAAAATCAGATAGATTTTAGTGAACGATACCTGTGGGCCCTGTCATTTTCGCCGCAACCTAATCCAGATATTATTAAAGATATCTTGAAAAAGTATACAAAAACTGTTAACATTCCAGAAAAAGTTAAGGAAACGATGATATTGACAATAGCGTCGATGACTCACAAATTGACTAAAGCCTCAACTAATGACATTAGATTTAGTGTAAGTATTTAAAACACAAATTTTAATTTAACATATTTTGTAATTCAGATTGAAGGAAATATCACAAAGCTATTTTTTTATTTAATTGAGTTGCCAGTATCATTCTTGTTCCAAGGCATTCCAAGCAGATCTAACTTACTTATGTCTCTCTCTGTATTTCCCTCTTGCTTAATTGGCTTATCATTTCTTTCCTGAGTCTGTGTCTACCTAAGGGTCTGTTACCGACTGAGTTCTTCTCCCATATCTTTTTAATGAGCCATTCGTTCTGGGCTATCTGACTTCCAATTTTTATATGATCTAATTCTACATTACCCAGTTGTGCTATCAACTATATGACCATAATCTTTTTTCAATATTTTGCAATGTATTTTCAATATATTATACATATACATATAGTATATATTCACAAAGAGAAGACAGTACCATGAAAATATTAACATTTATTACTAATGATTACTAATATTTTTTGTTCAAACGAAATTTTCATTTTAATTCTGATTTAAAAAAATTTTATTTAATAATAATTTGCGCTTTTCTCTAAGATTTTTATTGCTTATTTACCAGGCCTTTTAAAATTGTAGTTAGTTCGAGATGTAGAAGAAACAATACTCAACGACTTAGACTATGCCAAAGACGAAGACAAATTTAAATACTTTAGGGCTCTAAAGAATTTAAAATCCCAATCAACAATTCCAACACTATTAAAATATATTAAAAGTGGAACCCAAAAAGAAGGTGTCCTTGCTTGGAATGCCATCAAATCATTCGGTTCGTCTTTTTGGAATGAAGAAGTTTTAAAATCAGCGGACAAATCATTTTTCCAACTGGACAGAAAGTAAGTACACACATCTACATAAAGTTACATAGCTTTTACTATTTAGGAAACAACTATAATTTGACGGTGCATGTAAAAAAACAAAGTATATTTAGTAGAATAGTAACATATAGATAAATAAAAAACAAAGTGGGTCCTAATATCGAACTTTGAGGAACCCCATATTCGACAGTGTTAGAATAGTTGTTATAAAGAAAAACTGCCTGTTTTCTATTTGTTAGGTATGATCTAGATTAAGAGTGTTTCCCCTAATACCGTATTTATGCATTTTTTCCAACAGTAATTCATTAGCGAAACACAGTCAAAAGCTTTGGATAAGTTACACAATTTCAAAGACACAAAATGACCTTCCCCCAAGCCATCAATTATATCTCTCACAATTTTGTGTATAGCTAGTGTAGTGCTACACGTTCTTTTAAAGCCATAATGATTACAATGAAGTATTTTGTGTTTTTCTAGATATTCTATCAAACGAACATTTAGAATAGGTGCTATCAAAAATTTTGCCGAAAATGGGAATGGTTGAGTAATTTCCAATTTCATCTAAAGCTCCCTTTTTAAACACTGGTAACACTTTTGTTACTTTTAATACATCTGGGAAAATTCCTTCAGTAAGAAAATTATTATAAATTATAATTAATTTATCAATAATTATATCGATTATTTCCACAAGTATTTTTTTGTTTAAGAAATAAAAAATCCGTGCAGTGTGAATTTTTCAATCTTTGCAAAATATTCTGATTTCAGTATCCCTAACAGGTAATAAAAATAAAAATTCGCAAGGAGAGTGTACACCTTTCAAAAAATCTATGGCTACATTTTCATTGTAGAATTAACAGTTTCTAATATGTTTAGCTACTGAAGTAAAGTAATTATTGAAATCGTTTGATGCAATCGCGCTTGGACAGACTTTTTTATTTTGAAATTTATTTCTGTGATAATTTATAAGTTTCCAAATGTCGCGAGATATATTTTCTGAATTGGAAAAGAAATTCTTACAAGCCAGTTTTTTCTTTAATGATATTGTTGATTTATAATGCTTCTTAAACCATTTATACTCACTATATTCCTTTGTAACATCAGCAAGTATCTTGACTGTGGAAAGATTTTCTCCCAATCCTATTAGTTCATTATTAAACCAAGAAATTGGAACTTTGCTGAGTTCGTGATTTTTTTATTGGAAAATTGATTTCAGTTAACTTTACTTACATTTCGCTAATAAATTGAGCTAATTCTGTTGCTGTTTTGAGAGAAACAACTGAAGTCAACGTTGTTTAACGACTGTTTTAACATCAGGATGCCATTACTTATTATATGTCTTCTGTATGTATTAGCACTATGACTTTTTTTCAGATTTTATTTTTAAGTAGAGAAATTGAGCAAGATGATCAGAAATACCTGAGTCCACAATTCCACAATCAACTATCTCACTGCTTATGTTTGTTAAGCTGTTATCTAAACAAGTTGCTGATCTTGTTGTGATTCTAGAAAATTCATTAATATTTATGGTTAAGACAAATGTAGAACGAAATTACATCATGGAACCTGTTTTATTTCATTAGAAGCTTTTTGAAATCAATGTTTCAATGTATCGATGTAATCGTGTAGTCACACGATCTCTCGTTTCATTGCATTTACTTTGTTTTTATTTTTTTCACACCTCTGCACGATTCATTTCACCGATCAATGTATTCCGTCCCTAGTCTGCGATAAGAAAAGCGTCTCAGACAAACCACTCTTATACATATACAATGCAATTACTGGACTATAACGTCTGATTAAATAGTATTAAGCACCAACATTTAATTCACAATTTTACAACAAATATTTTTTTTAGGTACGATTCTAGTTCTAGAACTATAGCAGGCGATATTCTTCTAGAATCTCAACCAAGCGATGAAGTACTTACGAACTTGTTAAATTTCTTAACCACCAATGATACAGCTTATGAAGTTAAACAATACATCTACCAAAGGATAAAAATGATTTCGGAATCTGACAAATCTTTTAAATCTAGAGTTGAACAAATAATTAAAAGCAATAAATATTTAAATAACTATTCTGGGTTATCTCCAAGAGGCTTGTCGACTGCTTTGAGCCGAAAGTTCTTAACGCATCCTTCAGTTAATGGGAGTCTGGTGACTTTGCAGGAAATGAAGTCTGGTATTGCTAAAAGGGGTACTATTGATATAGTTCTCCAAAAAGGTGATATTTCTGATGAACTGTTCAGCGTAAGTAAGAAGTCGCATTAAATGCATTTATTTTATCTCGTTCAAACTCTATTAATTCAAAATTAACTCACACACCACTTTTGACATTTTTATGTTCAAGAAATTTATATATTTTGCCAGAAAAAAGTCGTTTTGAATTTCCTCTTTCGATTTCATTTTGACAAACGACAATAAAGCACGACATGCAACCTGTCGGAAGGTTCATATCTTAAATATGCATAAAGCATCACCAGGTGTATTTCGGCATTTGACGAAATGCCCCTGATGATGCTTTAGAAAGCGAAAGTACTTGGGCAAGATTTGATTAATAAAATTGTGCTCGATATCTGCATTTAATTTTTAAAAGTTTATTTATTCGAGCATTCAACCTTATATCAACCTTATATCAATCAAAATATATTTTATTGGTAAAAGTAAACATTATTTTTAGTTGGGAATATTCTCCGGAGGTCTTAGCAGCTTCATATCTAGCGACAATGAAGGTGAAGAAACTGAAGAGGAAAGTGCTACTGCCGGAATTGAATTGACTGTTTTAGATACTCAAATTAGACCATTTGTATTCTTTAGTGGTCAAGGTGAACTTATGGGACATGTCTGGTCGGGTACAGCTTCAGATAAAACTCCTGCATTCCAGGTAAGAAACAGGCACATTTTAATACCATAGTAGTAGTTATGCTTCTTTACTCTAGGTTCAAGATAGGATTATATACTTGTATAACTGTCTGTACAAGAAAGTGAAACCTGATATTTTTTCTAATTAGGGGAGAAGGGGGAGGTCTGGGAGAAGGGAGGTCTGGGGCATTTTAAATTTCCCACCTTTATATGTAAACTATCAGTTCTGTACTTTCTCACCCGATGTATTACTGGTTAGAGCATTTCCTATTCGTTTAGTGTTTTAGAAGCACATGTGTTGTGATAAAGAGAGAATATTATTCATTTTAACATTCAGAGAATTTATCCATTGAATATCGTAGTTTGAAAAATCATTGGAAATCAACTGGATTTCCATTGTTTAAAGTCTCGGTAATATCGGAATTTATACCTAGGTGTTCACTGTTTTTATTGTAGATAATATTTTTAACTTTTGAGGCGTCTGGTCTGCCCTAATCATATCTAGTACCTAACAAATAAATAAAAAAAATTAATATAATATTATACTTATAATGATTTCATAAAAATTACCTGGCAAGAGCAGTGTATTTGCTACTCTCGGTGGATTAGCGGAGTCAGTGGAGTCATCACTCTCTGTATTACTCAACGCCTCGTCATTATTCGCTGTAAAATTGGGATCTAAATCACTATCATCAAACTCGCTTTCACTTCCTATAGAAGGCGTAGAAATCTCTGTATAATCTTAACCCACGTTCTGTTTCTCGGTCATCCATTTTGCTGAACCGTCAGTCAACTAAAGAGCTGATATTCCTATAAATAGTTCAACCACAGAATACTCCATGGACTCTATTTGATATATATTATATATATATATATATAATATATATATATATATATATATATATATATATATATTCTGTTTTATAACGTCTTACGACGTTGTCCGACTCCCAAACGCCACTGTATTCTGTCTTGAGTTAGGTCTTCGTCCAGATTTCTAGCGCTAATCGCTTTCCTAACTCCCAGATTCCAGCTCTGTGGTGGTCTTCCTCGTTTTCTCTTCTGTGGGGGTTGCACGTCATCGTTTTTTAAGGCAATCTTTCGTCCCCCATTCGGCTCACATGCCCATACTATATGAGCTGTTTTCTCTCAATATCCTCAACTATAGTGCCCTCTATACCCATTTGTTATTTTATCACTTCATTCCGTATTCTGTCGGCTCTTGATATTCTCATCGATCTTCTGATGGCATCCATTTCCGTGGCTTCGACCTTTTTTCTTATATTTCTCGGTTTTCTTCATGTCTCAGCTCCATAAAGTAGGCTAGTTTTAACCATTGTCTCATAGATGTTCCATTTTCTTTTCTTTGATATTTCTTTACTCCATAGAACTCCGTTCAAACATGCTATAGCTCTTCGTGCTTGTACAATTCGATGTTCTATTTCTCGTTCGTCTTTTCCACTACGGTCGAAGATGACGCCCAGGTATTTATATTCGTCACATGGATTTATTTTTTGATTGTCATCGATATCGAGTTGTTCTGCTTCAGCTCCAATTGAGAGGTATTTTGTCTTTTCTAGATTGATATTTAATCCCCATTTCTGGTATTCTTCAATTAGTTTTCTAAGCATGTATTCCATGTCGTCTTTGTCATTTGAGATCACCACCTGATCATCTGCAGACTGTAAAGTATATATGTAATCCTGATCGTTCAATTGTATACCCATTCATTTGACTTTCCTTTTCCATTGTTTCAGAGCTGCAGATATATCAGTCTTAAATAGACTCGGAGAGATACAACATTCTTGTCTGAGACCCTTGGAACTGCAAATTTTTCAGCTAAGAGGTTTCCGAATTTCATTTGGGAGTTTGAACCATAATATAGATTTTTGAGAGCACTAACCAATGTTTGATGTATGTTTGATGTGCCCAGGACTTCCCATAGTTTATTTAGCGGGACTGTGTCATATGCCTTCTCAAGATCTACAAAATTCATATGTAACTCTCTATTTGTCACAATTTTCTTTTCTATAATTTGTTTAAGGCAGAAGATGTTATGTGTACATGAACGACCTGCTCTAAATCCTCCTTGTTCTTCGTCTTCAGACGATTGATAATCTTCCTCTATCAGGTCCCGTAGTATTCGACCGTATAGTCGACTCATTGAACTTGTGACCGATATCCCTCTATAGTTTTTACAATTTCTCCTGTCACCTTTTTTATATATTGGGGTCATATATGCTGTTTTCCATTCATCTGGTGTTGGATGTCCATTAATATATTCGTAAATATCACCGTGATCATTCTGTGTAATTTCTCTGAGCCATTCTTTATTAATTCCGTAGTGACTCCCTCTGGTCCACTTGCTTTCCCATTTTTCATCCCTGCTATAGCTTTTTGAACTATATTTGATATCTATGGTAATATGCTCTCCCAGAATTTCGATTCTTGATGAATTCATATCTTCTTTAAATTCGTCTTTGTTCTCATTTAATAGATGTTTGTAATAATGTGTCCAATCCTCGGGATTTATGGAATTTAGAATCACTTTCTCGTTAGTCGGCTTCTTACCGCATTTTCGACGTCTTGATTCCACCAAAGCTTGTTACTAATTTTTACTCTATTTGATATATATTGCAAAAAAATACTATAGATGACTCCAAGTAATAAATCGATAATTAAATTAACAAACAGTACGATGGACCTCAGGACCGATATATTGATTTTCCGACACAATCTTATAGATATGATAGGGTGCACACGGCAGAAAACCTGTTAAGTGAGTGTAAAAATATTTGAAATGTAGTTTATCAACAAAATAAAAGTGGATCAATTAAAACAATAAAACGAAGATTACTATTTGTATTTTTAAAATTTTATAATCTTCTAGATTAGTATTGGGGGTAATAGAAAGAAGGGATAAGATAAATGCTTGTCTAATTCTGCTTTGAATCCTTATATTTTTATATTTACAGTTAAAATTCCAAAACAAGTTAACAACTTAAGGAAAACAATAGAAAAAATTAATTAGAAAATGAATAATATAAGAAATCATTGTCAACTATGTATCTACGAAGGTTTATTTGATTGGCATTGATTTTTCTTAGTTACTTTGATAATTTATAAACAATTTAAAATTGTAATTACAGGTTTTAGCTTTACTACATGACCATTTAGAATATATACGACTAGGATCTGGGTATATTGCTGCGATTAACTTTAAAGGGTCCACATCTTTTGACTTATCAGGCAAAATAGAAATATCTCTTTGGAATAGAAATGCGGAATCGTTGGTACAGAAATCGTAAGTAACTACAGCTTTCATATATTTATAACGCCATTTCTAAACAATATATTCACTATTTTCTTAATTTTTTAAATAACGACGATATGTTATTGTACTGTTACTTTGTACACTAAAGGTCGATTCAGACACATCAGTCACGTTTCGTCACAGTCCTGGCGCCGAACCGAACAATCCGTCATACCAAATATTCTTTAATAGAAATATGGCTCCGGCATCCACATTCATCAGGCGACGAACAGTTTCCCAGCTGTCAGATAGTTGATAGTTCTGTGACCAAACAGGACCGGTTCGGCGCCGAGACTATGACGGGACTGATGTGTCTAAATCGACCTTAAAGTCCGTGTCAGACGGTCAAATATTTGAGCAAACTGACGTAATTACGTCAAAGGTCGATTCAAACACATCAGTCACGTCTCGTCACAGTCCCGGCGCCGAACCGAACAATCCGTCATACAAAATATTCTTTATACTTCACTTGGAATTCACAACACAACACAACAATGGACCGCAGTAGTGTGACGTCACGACTGTCACATTGACATTACTTTCCAAACAAAAGTTGAAATGTCAAATCTCAAGACTTTTAATTTCTATAAAGTTACCATTTTGCTTCCTCTCTGTTTTTTCTTGTAAGCATAGTGTTTTTTACGATAATACCATCATAATTCAGAGTTCTATTTCTATGAAATATAGTTTAAAAAAGTTTAAATAAAGAAATTGTAACCTTACTTTATTGATACATGCATTTTATTGCTATTAGCATAAAACAATGTGCTTTATTATTTACACAACCTTGTAAAATTGTTGTAGTAACTATTAGAATACTTAAATATTGCAATAAGCGGAAAGATTCTATAAAATAAATGAAAAAATAACGAAAAATACAAATTATCCACACTAAACCAGGTTTTTTTGGAAAGTGAAACTGACGTATATCAGTAAAATCTACGTCATCACTTCTGTTGTCCATTCATTGAGCAAAAAGACAAAAGAGGGAATCTAATCCTTATGAAAAGGAGACCAAAAAAGTGGCCTCTAATGGCGGTCATATCCGGAAATGCGAATGCGCCAAATTTAAATTTTCCGACACTTATTAACATGTAGCTATATAATATTTTCAGAATGTGTCTTAGACGAGAAAGTTTTAATTAATATTAACGATAATAGTCTAAAATGCGACACCAATTGTTAAAAAACTTCAATATAAATAAGATTTCATGTGACATTTGGGACAAACAATAACATAACCCAACTAAATTTGATGGCAAACAAGGAGAGAGACTCTCTTTCCTTTTTTAAAGTGGCCTCTAAAGATCGCACTTCCTGTCTAACAATATTTTTGCCCCCACTACCTTTACATTCCCTCTTTTGTCTTTTTGCTCGATGGGTCCATTCCTACTCAGTATTAATAGCTTAAAAAAAGAAGAATTATTCTAAATACTGGAAGTGCATACTAAACCCATCAAATTTTGGGTAGTGTAAATTTAAAAAATATATTTTAGTTGTTATAATTTAACATAAATACTTATTATATGATGCAGATAAACAAATTTTAACTGTCGGTAATTCGCAAAGGTCTATTTTATTTACTATTTAATTTGTTTACTATTAATATTGGCTATGAGTACGTGGTCTTGGTTGTATAGTAATTTTCAGCCAGTTTTAGTCTGTCAAAAAGTAAACTAACTTCGCAAAAAAATAATTACTAAATTCACTAGAAAGTTCGGACTGGGAATAGCGAACCGAGTATAATAGAAATATGCCGCCGGCATTCACATTCATCATTGACGAACAGTTTCCCATCTGTCAGATAATTAATAGTTCTGTGCATGATACTATGAATAACAAGATAGGATCTTCCCGTAGCTCAAAATCGGTCGGGTTCGCGCATGCCGTCATTGGAGAGTAGAATTTGAAATCTTGTTAAAGTTAAATGGGATTTGTATGCATTCTATGATGAAATTACTAGACAAAAATAAGTTAAGAGGTTTAATAATTACAATAATCGTACACATTTAGTACAAATAATAAGTACAAACTATTTATTATTTATTGATATATACAAAAAACTGACATTTCGAACGTGCAAATCTCCAATGACGTCACAAAAACATGCGCAATATCTTATCTTATAGTCATAATATCATGGTTCTGTGACCAGACAGGACCGGTTCGGCGCCGGGACTGTGACGGGACTGATGTGTTTGAATCGACCTTTAAGGTCAATTCAGACACATCAGTCCCGTCATAGTCTCGGCGCCGAACCGGTCCTGTTTGGTCACAGAACTATCAACTATCTGACAGCTGGGAAACTGTTTGTCAACTGATGAGTGTGAATGCCGGCAACATATTTGTATTAAAGAATATTTTGTATGACGGATTGTTCGGTTCGGCGCAATCACTGTGACGAGACGTGACTGATGTGTCTGAATTGAGCTTAATTCTTAAAAATCTACATGTCACACGATCATTCAAATTTGATGAAACTGACGTACGTCAATGAAATTAATTGTCTTTTTTGCTTTTATATATTGTATATAAAATATATTTCTATTTTTTATACTTTTATTTTAGAGCAGGAGTAATTATACTGGGCTCAAGCACTATTGATACCGTATTTGTGAAATCCCAAGCTGAATTTACAGCTTCGATAGAATACAGGTTGGATCTGCAGACCGATATAGATTTCTCGTCAGGTGCCCAATTATGTATGAGACTGACTCAACCAGACACGTTATTTAGGTAACACATCTTTAAATTAATTTAACTAAATAATATAATTTGAATTAAATTTTAGGCACAATATTCACAAAGTGGAAAGGATTCCAGGAAGTAAACACAAGATGAGGATATCTAGATACCAAAAATATGTCGTTCCCGGCACAACATATGCACTAAACAAGAAAAATACTGAAATGTGTAACGCAATATTTAGCTGACGAAACTAATTTTGAATTCTTTCATGAATATATGAACCAATTATAAGAGCTGTGGTGTAAAAAGACTTTAGTTTTTAAAATCTGATCTAAAAAGACCATGTAAATATTTTATATTATATAAATGAAGATTTAAATAAGGCTTTTATTTTTATCTCTTCCATATTTAGGTAAATCCGACACGGATGTGAGAGAACTAGAGTTAGAGAAGATGTTAGTCTATCTACAAATTTATCAATGTCTAATCACTTAAATTGTATTATTAAGTACGGTCCTGCTTTGTGCTCTACGAGATTAGTACGACTTGAAGAGTTGTGACAAGAGAGTTAACAAGTGGGAACCGCACATTTCTGTATTTCTTCTTCCACTGACCTAATATTTCTTCTAAAAGTATTTAAAACAGTGGGTGATAAGAAGGAACCTTGTTTAAGGTTTTTTTGTTTTCGATGCTTTCCTAACTTATTTTCCTAATTGTTTTGAAAATATCAGCTCTTGCAATTTTTTATAATTTTCTCATGTTGTCTAGTCTCAACAAGAAATCACCATTATAATATTCAATTTAAACAATCCCACACTGATACTTGCACAACATGTGATCGACTGGAAAATCTTATTAATAATGCCACAGACGGTGTTAATACATATAAAGTTGAAAAGGAGCTGCATCTGAGGAAAGCTGAAGCTGCTTCTTCTTCATGTACTATGTCCTTTCAGAACGTTGGTTACCATCATAGCTATCTTAATTTTATTCACTGCCACCCTAAATAGCATGCTTGTATCAACACCATACCAATCTCGGAAGTTCTTCAACCATGAGGTTCTTCTTCGTCCTGGACTGCGTTTGCCTGCTATTTTTCCTTGCATGATATTTTGTAGCAACCTATATTTGGGACCTCTCATTACATGTCCGAAATATTTCAGCTTTCTCTGCTTGATACTTTTTATGATCTCAGTAGTCTTGCTGAGACGTTCTAGTATTGTGGAATTTCGTATCTTCTCGACCCAGGAAACTTTTAAAATTCTTCTATAGCACTATAGTTCCAGGACTCGACACCATAAAGTAAGACCGAGAATACATAGCAGCGAAGTAGGCGGATTCTCAATGCCAATTTTAGGTTTCTGTTACGTAACACCTTGGACATCTTTCTAAAAGCAACTTTAGCCTGCTCTATCCTAGATCTCATTTCGCCGTGACTTTCTGCGTTACAATTTAATTTCTGTCCAAGGTAAAAGATTTTATCAACTTGCTCAAGTTTGGTATTATTTACATATATAGACGGTTTTATATGCTGTTGTTTACTTATTACGAGTATTTTGGTTTTCCATCTGTTAAAATCCAGACCTGCCTCCCTACAACTCTCGACGACACTATCAAGTAGTGTTTACAGATCTTCTTGACTAGAAGCTAGAAGTACTGAAGCTGCCAAAACATTAAAAACCGGATTAAAATTTGGAAAAAAACTCTTCCAACCCCACACCTCACTTGCAGTAAGATGTTTTACATTGGACGTACAATTTTTGAGTCCACGACTTAAAAATCAGTAAGGTCACAATGTTTATGTGGCATGAGAGGGCAGGGTAGTCTAGGTTGCAAGGAAGTGGCATCCTGCTTACTTAAATATATTAAATGTTACCTTCCACTGTTAAGAATATTATCAGATTTAGCGACAATTGCGGAGGACATAATAAGAGTGCTCTTATACGATTTTAATCTTATGTCGTAGCCAAAACCTCTATAACGTCCTTAGATCACCATTTTTTTGTGGCAGGTCATTCTTTTATGAAATGCCACCAGGATTTTGCCGTCATTGAAAACGCCAAAAGAACAAGTGAAGCTCTGGTGTTTTGTTACAGAGCACTGGCGAAGAGTTATGGCAAAAGCCAGTATGAACTTTCTTGTTGTCCATATGGCAGATAATTATATCTCCTTAGAAGAACCACTTGATAAATTACTTGTTTAAAAATAATCGGTATACAGAAGATAGTATGGCCCCACCTTGAAAAGAAGGATTTTTTTACCTTACTGTACAAAACAGTGTTTGGTACCGATGTTCTGTTTGACAAAAGGAGACTAAGACCTCCAACAAAGGGCAGACCACCAAGTTTTGAAATATTTCCAGATCTTAAAAGAAAAACTAAGCAACAAAATCCAATCAATCCAGCCAAGTACCAAGATCTTCAAAATCTCTTGGATTTTATACCCCCAATTTATCATAACTTCTACAAAGTACTCAGCCGGAGAACGGGAAGAATAAGAAAAAGCAAGTTGACGACAACAATGATATAAATAGATAAACGAAGTCCCATACAGTTTGAAAATATAAAAATTTAAATAGAGAAACTTGCCTAGAATTTATCATAACATTTAAACTTTATCCTTCATTTTATTAAAATGCGATAAACCTCACTTACCCCCTTGGCTTCCCGATGCCTTAATTATTCTATTGTATTCTTTTTAACTCTATTCCACCATTTTATTCTATTTTATTTTGTTTTATTTTACTGTATTTTATTATCTTTTATTCTATTTGATTCCCTTTTATTAGATTTTATTCAATTTTATTTTAATTTATTTTATTTTAATTTTATTTTATTCTATATTACTCTAGTTTATTTTATTTTGTTTTAATTTTATTTTATTAAAATACTTTCCGACTTATCGCTAAACTTAAATCGTACCTAACAATATATATGTTGTCAAGTCTCCTAATTTTTATATTTTCTTATACTTATTTTTTTCCTTGAAATCCGTTACTAAATAGAAGTACATACTACATTCTTTGTAACCAAACTACCAAAAGCAAAGTATGTGTCAAGACTGAAAAATAGGCCCGGAATTATAATGTTTTCTAGGGCCCTGATTGCATTCGTGCATCATGATGTTTGGTTTTGACAACAAATAAGTTAATATATTATAAATATTTCAAGTTAATTGTTGTTATAAATAATTAAATCAATTGATAAATGGAACACAAACATCGCAGTCTGACTAATGTGACTAATTAGAAATTTTATAAACGGAACAAGTTCTATTTCCACTACATCTGTTTCGAACTTTTCTTCAATACTCACCAACAAATTATCTTCGATTATGACTGTCTATAAATAATTCCGTATTATTTATTTTGAATACCTATAGTGTCAAGTAGGGCCATTCTGATAAACGCATCCACAGATAAGTCAAAATGGATTTCAAGTGGACGAAAGACCAACGGCGGGTGAAAATTTATTCGAACAGGTAAGTTTTTGAATTTATCAGTCAATTTTATATAATTTTATTAATGCAGCTATTCTAAATAAAGTGTAGAGCAAAGGGCTTAACTAACATAATATTTGAACAAACTATATTATTCATCATCTGTGCACCAGTTGTCGTCTCTATACCTACATAGTTCATTCAAACTATTTCTGAGAATTTATTTGGTAGACATCAGATAGCTAGATTTGCTAGTTAAATTATTATAATTTTCTTAGATGATTCTTGCGTTTTCGAAAAACGCAAACAACGATTGTGTATTTTTTTTTAAATGAAAGTGTAGAAAGAAATATCATGAACAATTGACTTAAAATTGTCTACTAATAGCATTACACGTGTTTATATCGCTGTGTTGTAATTCTAAGCAAAATTATGATTTTTTTAAGCAAAATAGTGAGAGAGAAAACGAGATACCAAAGGAATTAGTGAAATATTTTGGAGCAGCAATGACAGAACAATTAATAACATTAATTAATAAAATTATAAAGGACAATAAAATACCGGAAGAACTGAACTAATAAAAGTGTCTGTTCAGATTTGCCCCAGGTAGTCAGCGGTTCTCAAAATAAAAATGTACGGTTTTCTTAATTTGATAATACCACATTAGGAATTTTTTTAATAATATAACTTTGTATTATGTTTTATAATAATTGAATATCATAATGTAAATTGATAAACATTGAGTTGAACATGAAATATACAGTATCATTCACGCAACATGTTGGTTAAAAGTTTTCAAAGTTCTGGTTGTCACTGGTTTCTGCAAACTTGGAATAATGGGTTATGCAAAGCATTCTTCATTTTTTAAATATTTGCATTCTTCTAGCACTTCCGGTTGTACCAGAAGTTGCCGGGAGTTTCTTATTTTCAAATGAAACTGTGCTTTTTGTTATTTTTTTTTAGAATCTACGTAAAATTCTGGATCGATTTTTATTGGGATACCATTCTCGAAAAAATAGCCGTTTTTGAGATATTTAAAGTTTTTTTCATATTACACATGCAACTTCAAAAATTAATATTGTGGTTAATATTTAGGCTGAAAAAACAAAAATTCTTTTTCAGCGTGTACTAAACTCTATTTTTATTTAAGCATAAAAAAATTTGCCAATGTTAATACTGGGTGTTCAAAATTTTGTATTATGTTTTTATTTTTATATATTTTATAACTATATCTATAAAAATATATATCTACTTATTCCTACTTCCCACACACACACACCTTCCCAAACCCACCGAGTTTGGTTGCCCTCCTGCGGTACAACCAGGCCCGGCTTTCCTCTGCCCCCTGGTCTTTGGAGCCAGGTCTCGACTATTTAGCGGTATCCCCCGTCAGGCAATGGGAGATTTCCGTGTATTTACATTTAAGTGGTAGGTTAGTCCATTTGGCTTTATCACTACCGTCAAAGCAATTGTTCGGCGATCTAATGATGGTTGTGTGTGCCGATACTTGCTTTCCCTTTTCTGCAAAAAGTGCAGTCGAGAGCGAGCAAGCATGGAATCCTTTCATCCGTCGTCTAATACGCAGTCATTCGTCCAGTCATTTCCTTAATCTACCTTACTTGCTAATCTAATTTTTTTGGTGCTTGCATTCAAGAGCGTCGTGCGGCGTGCCTCCGGCTCTCTCCTGCATGCGGTTTGTTTTATTTTTTTTTTTTGGTGGTTAGTACCCTTTTGTGTTAATGTTTCTATCTACGTCTTAATCTATGGACAGGTATCATCACTATCTGACTCGCTATCCGATTCATCTGAATCTTCATCTGTACGAATAATTAAAGGTCTTACTTCATCAATAACTTGTTCTATTTCATATGACTCAAATTTTTTTCAGTATGCTCAATACATTTCCGCCATTGTTCCTTATTGACTTGGTTTAGTGCATCTTGCCAGAGTTGTAAACACTGGCTTCGTCGATGGTCTTACATGCATGTTTATCATAGTAGTTTTTAGTGATGCCCCACACCAATTCAATTGGATTGTACTGGCAGTGATATGGTGGTATTCTTAGGACCTCATGACCATATTTTAGTGCCATTTGGTCAACGACAAATTTTTTCTCAGTAATGTGTTCTTTGCACTTATTTAATAATTCAGCTTTTAAAACTAGATGGTCGTGTTCTATATTTTTCTCCGACAGCCACTTTCTTAAGTCTTCTTTTTTCCAGCTGCTTGTGGGAAACTTTTCCTCCTCTCTGGTGTGATACGAAGCATTGTCTAAGACTATTAATGACGGATTTTCCAGATTTTTTAATAATTTTTCCTCAAACCAATGTTCAAAAATATCGGCGTCCATATTTCCGTGGTAATCATCACTTTTTTTTGTCGAAGAAAATATAAGACTAGCATTGGGTATAAAACCTTCCGTATTTCCTGCATGCAATATAATATATCTTTTGCCATTACTCGCACTAGTACTCGAATAGCATTTGATAGAATCATTTTGCCAGGATGATTTGGTATTATTTCCTTTCGCAAAAATCCATGTTTCGTCAAGAAACACAAACTGTCTGGCAAATTCGGAATTCTTGTTTTTTAAATAGTTTCTTATAAATTTCCACCCTTTTCCAACAACATTAGACAACTTGCACAACACTTTACGATTATTGGTTTTTTTGTATCTAAAACCCATAGCTTTTAATACTTTTGATAAACTGGTCAAACCCATATCACAAAGTTCTCTGTCCTTTATTTTTCTTTCTCTATTATTATATTATTATTTCTCTATAAGAAGAAGAAAAAACAACTTAAGATGTTAAAATTCGGAACATAATAAAGTAAGGATAATATCGTATTTGATTTAGTACAGAATTTTTGTAATATTCCAAAAAATAATTCCTTAAACTGGTTTGAAATGCACGACCCTGTTAAGCGTACTTCTGCGTCTCGGCGCTAGAAAACCAAAAGTTAGTATTGAAAACATCTTTTTCTTGCAACATGTACCTCCCTGTGATAATTTCGTTACCTATTTTGGTCTGCCTATGGATATACTTCTTAATAATATTAAAAAACATTTTTTTGTCTCCTACATCTATTCATCTAAATTTTATTGAATCGCCTGGTAATATCAGTAGTGTAATTAAACATTTAGCAGAAAATACTCCTGTTGTTAAAAATGATAGTGGTGTTAAAAAGCGTAAGAAAATCCACGTGCCGAAATTTATGTTGGAATTGTATGAAAAGAATAAAATCGGCAGGACAGATGATGAAAAAAGTCCTGATGTAGTTAGAAGTCTAATACCAACACATGCAGGTAAACAAATATATAATATACGCATCTGTACAATAACTATTTTTTCTTCAAATATCCGCATCAACAAATCTACAATTTGAACTATTTTCTAACAATTTAGTGAATTTCAAAAAGTTTTTGTTTCTCAAAGTTTTGATTTTTTTTTTGGTATAGCCGTAAATGTCTTGGCCGTTTCATTCACATGCGGCCTCTTTTGTTTGTCTGGCAAAAAAGTGTACGTTGTACCTAGCAATGAATCTTCCAAATTTTTAATATTAAATTGTGAAGGATTTTTAAAGTGTTATTTAAAAATGTTTTTGTGATTTAAACGTTGAACAAATGTTTGTTTTTTAAATAAATTTTAACTCCATTTAACATTTTTTACATACCTACCACTTCAATCTCTTGGCCGTAATATAAATTTTCTATCACTGGTGATGGTATCAAATATACCAAAATATATTTCTATACAGGGTGTAACAAAAAGATAGGTCGTAAATTAAATCACGCATGCGTGGACAAAAATAAATTGATTGAATTGAATCCATTTTATCTTAGTACAAAAGTGTACACAATAAAAATTACAGCTCTTTGAAGTTACAAAATAAAAATTGTTTTTTTTTGCATTATCTCCTGCATAGTTTTGCATAACTACTTGACATTGTGTAATAAAAATGTACACTTACTTCTTGTTTTGAAAGCATTTTTCATAAAAAAGAAACAACAAAATCTATTTATACTAGTATATATTTTATCGCAAAATCAGTTCGGCTTTTTGTCTAATAAATGCACTAGTGATGCCATATTTTCTGTGTTACATGATGTATATCTATCACTAAACAGTGACCTCTCCTCCGCCACCGTTTTCTGCGACTATTCCAAAGCCTTTGACTGCGTAACTCACGACATTCTATTAAAAAAATTAACTTTCTACGGAATTCGGGGTGTGTCTTTGAACTGGTTCAAAACTTACTTGGTAGGTCGGAAACAATTGGTTAGAATAAATGACACCGACTCTAGTTGTAAAGATATTGAGTGTGGAGTACCGCAAGTTTCAGTATTAGGTCCCATTCTTTTTTTACTTTTCATTAATGACATCACTTACTTGAAAATTAAAGGGAAAATTTTTCTATTTGCTGATGATACCAGTATTACTTGGAGCAGCTCTGATATTTCAACGCTTCATTCAATTATAACCGATGATTTACTTATAATCAAGGCTTGGTCAGACTCCAACTTACTTAGCTTTAACGTGGATAAGACTGTAGCTTTATCTTATAAAGGAGTCATGCAACCCTTGCTTTTGAATGAGAGCCAAATCAATATCGTAAATTCCGTGAAATTTCTAGGTATTCTCATTGACAGTGATCTCAAATGGTCCTTGCATACTGACTCCTTAAGGAAGAAACTAGCCTCAGCTTGCTTTGCAATAAGATCTGTTTCGAAGGAACTAAATTTATCTTCTGCCAAAATGGCATATTTCTCATTGTTCGAGTCCCATCTTCGATATGGGCTTCCATTTTGGGGTTCTAGTACAGCGGCCCAATTTGATACTATTTTTAAGTTGCAAAAAAGAGCAATCCGTTATCTATTTGGTCTCAAACAACTCATTGCAAGACCTACTTCAAAAATCACGGAATTTTGACGCTTCCCTCTTTATTTATTTTGGAAACGGTTTTTTTTGATTCGAAAGCATCTAAACATTTTTCCCGATAGACCTGACCATGGCTACTCCATTAGAAATTCGGATTGTAACGTTTATTTGCCGATCCCGTCCACTCAGCTAGTAAAGAATTCTATTTTATATCGTGCAAAGAAACTTTATAATCACCTTCCAAGAGAAATTAAATCCGCAACATCCTTCATTAAGTTTCGTAAGGTGACAAAAATCTATCTCTCAGAAAGACCATATTATTCAGTTGACGAGTTTCTTAATGTATAACAAAGAAACAAAATTAGTATAGTTTATAATTACATTTGGGTGTCTCAAGCAGTGGCTACAATTTGTCTCATTTGTTGTTGTCTGTACAAATTATGTAGGTTATACAATAATTTTACTAATTTAAAATTGTGTTATTCTGTTTTTTACTATATTGTTTTTGTTTTATACTTTTTGTATTATTTGACTGATTTATTTTTTAGCTTTGTCCATAAAATTGTTCAATAATTTTCAGTGACAATAAAGCATATTTCTATTCTATTCTATTCTATAAAAGTCAACTAGTGCAAAAAATATTAATTTAACTTTCATGACAAAAAAAAATTAAAATCGATTTATCTCTAAAACCGTATATTCTACCGACATAAAATAAGAGTATCTTTTAGTACTAGAATACCTGAAAATTTAATAATCTAGTATCACAAATGCTTAAAAGTTAAAGACAAAATAGTTACGCGCTAAAATAACCGTTGACCTACCCAAAACAAACGCCTATGAACGGTACTAGAAATTCGCAATTAAAGGAATCGATTCAACTTTGAAATTGTACAAGTTTTCGTTTTTCTTAATAAAAGCGTTCTGGAGCTATTAACAAAAAACTACTTACAAGGCGCCATCTTCAAAGAGCTCTAACTCCCCTAGGAAACATTTTCGGACTAAGTGAATTAGGTTAAATCATCTTAAAATTATCTGAGGAATCTCTGGTTTTCGTTTGTCAGGAGAGCTTCTGGACACCCTGTATATATATTTCTTATATTTTAGAGCCCTTTCAAGGAAATGAAGTTATTGAAGACCCCGCAGAAAATCATCTTTTGATTTTTAATATTCCCACCGCGGATGAAGACGAAAAATTTGTCAGAGCTGAATTAAAAATTCTTACCCTGTTGAGTTTAGATGCAAGGAGTGAAGTAGGTATGACTCATTTTACAGAAAATTTTACATTTGAAATTAAGAGTCCTTCTGTTGAAAGTAGTAGACTGAGACTGAGTATACAGAAATAATGTTTTTAGGAGTTAGAAGAATTCTTAAGCTTTCAATTTATGATGATAGTGTTAAACATCTTCTGGACTTCCAAGAAATACAAATTCATCATTTTAACAATTCTTGGATATCCTTTGACGTAACAGCACCGGTCAATGATATATTAAGGAAAAATCCAAAAAGCAAATACCTCAAAATTGTGGTTACTGTATCTACTTTTGTACCGCAGGTAAAAGATCATCTAAAACTGTCATTGATGCCCGTAGAAGAAGACTTTGAGCACGATTATCCTGTTTTGTTGTTATCTTATTCTTCATCAAAAAATGGCGAGAAAGATGTTAAAGAAGAAAAAGCTAAGGTAATAGTTAATTTATGATATAGTGCAGCGGTCGGGGAACCGGAGTAAATTACCCCAAATGGGGTAAAAATGAAATTTTTGGGGATAAAAATGAAACTTATGAGTAAAAAGTATATATTTTAATTTGATTTTTTATAAACCTGTTTTGCATTCACCGAAATTTTTTTGTATTATTTGTGAAAGATAAATTACATTTTCCTACTATCCTTTGTAAATTTTTTGTATGCCCTGGGAGGAATTTTAAACCCCAAAACCCCCCCTGGGTGCGCTACTGCACTCCCACCAGTAGAGTGTTCTCGAGTTATATCCATAGAGAAATAACAAATAATTATTGTTATTTCTCTATGGTTATATCTTTGCGCAGTAAAGCACAGCCCCGTGCCGAGCCCCGGCTACCTGCTCAGTCCCTCAGTCCGTTCCGTGCCGTGCAGTCAGAATACAAATACATTGACGAGTCAGAGAGTTATAGAACGGTTATAGTTAGTTGCTGACAATCATTAATCATCGATATATCGATCAAGGTAAGCCGCAATTTGAAAATTTAATTTAAGTATTTTACAACTATTATTTTCTATCTCCTTCAGATGGCAGCAAATAGAAAAAGAAAATATCAAGACGAATTCCTTAATTACGGTTTTACACAAATAGAAGACAATGGTACAATGAAACCACAGTGTGTTGTATGTATGAAGGTATTGACTTCAGAATCTTTCAAAAAAGTCAACTGAAGAAACATTTAGATAATTTGCATTCACACCTGTCTTCCAAACCGCGAGAATACTTTGCAAATTTAGAAATATCTGTTAAAAGACAAAGATTGAATAGCAACTTGTTTGGTACATTTGATCAGCGTTCAGCATCAAGGGCTAGCTTTGAAGTAGCCTGGTTGATTGCTGGAAATAAGAAACCATACACTATTGGTGAAGATTTGGTTAAACCAGCTGCTGTAAAAATGATAAAGATTATATGTTGTCAAAAAGAAGCGAACAAACTGAATTCAGTGCCCTTGTCTGCGAGAATTGTGAAAGAACGAATTTCTATATTAGCAGAAAATGTGAAGGAACAAGATATTTTCTCATTAAAACAGGCTAAATATTTTGCTATTTAGCTTGATGAGACAACTGATTTTAGTAACAATTCACAGCTAATGGTATATGTTCGCTACAAAGGTGCAGATAATTTTGAAGAGGAATTGCTGTTTTGTTCTCCTCTCGAGTTAAGATCTCGTGGAATTGATGTATACAATAAAGTAAATGAATACTTCAATGCGCAAAGTTTAAAATGGGAAAACTGTATTTCAGTATCTTTGGATGGAGCTCCAGCTATGCTGGGCCATATTAATGGTTTTTCGGCTTTCGTAAAAAAAATAACCCAAATATTGAAGTTATTCACTGTATGATCCATCGCCAGGCCCTTATGGTCAAATATTTAGAACCTACACTGGAAGCCGTCATGCATGGTGTCATCAAGATTGTAAATTTTATCAAGGGACATGCACTAAACACGCGGCTATTTCGTGAATTATGTCAGGACAGTGAAGCCGAATATACGGACCTACTTTATTATACAGAAGTAAGGTGGCTCTCTCGCGGAAATGTACTAAATCGAGTATGGACTCTCAAAACTGAAGTGGGAATTTTTATGGTTGATCAAAAAAATATTCTCGCAGATAAGTTTAAAAACTCTTCCTGGGTTGCATATCTCGCATATTTAGCTGACATTTTTGAGAGTATAAATATATTAAACAAAGAATTGCAAGGAAAGAATATTAATATCATTTCAGCGAGAGAAATAGTGTCAGCGTTTGGATTAAAGCTGCAATATTGTAGTCAGAAAGTAGAACATAACAAGATAGATTCTTTTTCAAGGTTAGCTTTGTTTTTGGAAGATTGCGAAAATATTACTTTTGCTGACATCAAGGATACAATTGTAAGACATCTTATCAAACTCAGAAAGCGGTTTTCAGATTACTTTCTAGATCTTGATATACGTACTGTCAGTTGGATTGTAGATCCTTTTAAATGTGAAATTGATATGATACCAGAAGAACCTTCAGGTTTGGCAGAAGCAATTCTTTAACTTCGATCTAATACTGAAGCACGTATTCAATTTCCCACTCCAATCCAATTTTCCACTCTAGTGAACATAAAAACGAAGAACAGAAATCGATAAAACGCCGAAGACTGTATTCAAATCGCTCTTACATCAAAAAGTCCCAATTTTGAAGCAATTGTATCGAACATGAAACATCATTTCTCCAAAACGTGAAGGAAGAATGTTTTCAATTTTTCTTTTTTTATAATTTTTTCAATTCTAATTATTGTTAGTACAACCATTATTATTATTATAATTTGTTACAGTACCGCAATGGGTTTTAATTTTTTATATCTTATTATTGTTATCTATTATTATGTTATGTATTTCTAGGTATCATAAAAATTGAATAAATGATGTTTATTTTATGTTTTAGTTATTGTTTTCTGGTCAAAACTATCATGGGGGCTGTAATATGAATGATGCTAAAAAGAGGCCTTTTTTTTGCTTTTTTGTTTTTTGCTTTGGGTAATATCAACTTACACAAAAAATTTTTTGGGGTAATGATTAAAAAAGTTCCCCGACCGCTGATATAGTGGGAAATAATTGTACGCCAAGTTTGTAACATTTAATAATATTGATACTGCAACTGATAATGTCAATCTTTGATTATAGAAAATAACACCACAAAATAGTAGACAGAAACGAAACGTTGAAGATGATTATGAAGAAGAAACAAATAAAATTTGGGATGATAATATTTTTCCTATGAAAACCGTTCAAATGAAGAAATTAAAAAGAATGAGAAATGCGTGTAAAAAGAAACCACTGTATGTTGACTTCAAAGAAATTAACTATGATTCTTGGATTGTTCAGCCAAGTGGTTATGAGGTAAGAATATATTTGATTTAAATGAAAAAATTATATCAATATTTTACTGTTTTACAAATATTTTAGGATTGTGGTATAATTACCTGTTATCAAAAAGTTTAAATAAATCTTCTTATAGGTACATGTCATTATCACGTAGGGGAACTCGGGATAGAACAGGGTACCTAAGGTTGATAGTAATTTGTGTGATATTTAATGAAACTACACCATCATTTGACAAATCTTATGTTTATTTATTTATTTCTTTACAAGGAAAATATAGCTATAAGTTATAAAAACAAACGTTTCTGAGAAAAATGTGCATTACAAAAATAAAGGGAAATTTCCAATTCTGCCCAATAGGGTGCCCCATACTATAGCTAATATCATTGGCAACTATCATGGTCACTATCTAAACCAGCACATGCTAGATGTGCCCATTTCTTACAAATGCTACAAAGACACCAGCCTTCATTGGACTTAGAGTAGTAATCATGGCAATACAAGCAGGCCGTATCTTCTTCTTTTGCGCTATCTTCGGATTCAGTTTCAGATAGTTTTTGTTTCTTTGCCTTAGTTTAACCTGTTTGTTCTTATTATCTTTCCTTTTTCGTTTAGTTTCAATTTCTCTGGGTTTGTTTTCATCATTTTTAAACATTAATCTTTGTTTAGTTTTTTTCTCTTTAGCTTCCTTTATAGTTTGCATTTTTTTTAAGATTCTTCCAGTTCAACCTTATAAGGTGAGGCGGCAAGGATAGCAGTCTTTCCACGCTTTTTTACAGCTCTTTTTGTTCTGATTTTAACTTTTGGCAACGGAATTAGGTCTCTTGGCGACGTGACTGAAAAATGTGTGTCGGCATTAGTACGAACAGGGGAATCGGGCATCCAAGAACATCCGGGTTTAGGGACATTCACTGATGGGGGAAGATTTTCGTCAATTGTCGGTACGGATGGATTATTTTTAACATCAACTACGGGTGTGGGATGAATATGGGGTGAGGAGAAATGCTTCTGTACTGGTATAGTTGGCGTTGAGTCAGTTGTCTCTGACATAACCGGCAATGTTTAATGGATTGTACTACCAACAGGATTTTCCAAGGGAATATCTGTTGTTGCTGATGGTGGAAAGTCATCATCGGTGAATTTATTCATATTGGATGGCCAGATACCAGATTTTCAAAACCATTAATGGCAGTTCTCATATTTGTTGCACTTAAGAAAGCCTGGCCAAAAAGTGTCGATATGTCGAAAAGCTGAACCACTGTCCCTGGATGTGACCTGAGCCACTGCCTTATTTTATCCTCATAATACAAGCTTAAGGGCTTCATGAATGTACTGTCAAATGGTTGATTTTGTGAGAGCAATGAGGAGGGAAGCACAATATTAACACAGAATTGTCACGTGCTAGATCTTTAGCGGCCAAGTTCTCTGTGTGTGACGTATACCCGTCAAGAACTGGGTGTTCATTCGTCGCTTTAGAAAACAGAAGCTGCTGTAGCCATCTTACGAAAATCTCTGCAGTTATCCAACCAGAGTCGCTTACTTCAGCCCAGCCTCCTGGTGGAAGACCTATTTCAAATTCACGTTGTTTCTTTTTTCGTGGAAATATTAACATTAGGGGCATGTAACATCCGGCAGCTGAGCAACATATTTCGGCTGTGACAGTGGTGCCTCTTTCAGCAGAACTTAAGTTTAGCCTTATGTACAGTCTCCAGAAGAATCGAAGCCAAAATGTCTATATACCTAAGACAAAAATGATTCGACTTAAGGAGATCTGTCATTTGGATGAAGATGTTGTGCCAGTTCGAAGAACTCCGAGAGCAATTGGAAGGTGTGGTGACTGTGGATGGAAAAGAATCGAAAAACGAAATATTTTTGTTCGATTTGTAATAAGTATCTTTATTTGGAACATGTAAATCCAATTTGTATGACTGTAATAATATTCCATCTTAATTTTATTATGTTTTTTGCCATCTCTTATATTTTTTTATGATAAGTCTTAGTGAAATAATGTTTTATTTTTATTTAAGATAGTTCCTGAAGACTGATATGTTATGTTTTAATTTTAAATTAATTGTAATTTAAAACAAATAACGGTTGAATTCGATTTCGCCAGGTAGAAATCGTATTATTTCTCTTTTTGTTAATTGTAATTTGTTTAGTAAAAAAGAGAATAAATCAAACTCTTACAAAAATGTTGACCATTTTTTGTGCTAAGTAAATAAACATTTTAAATAAACAAAATATACCAATAGTAATAAATAATGTGAAAAAACTACAAACAATAGATTATTTTGTTAAACCTTCACCTTCAAACCGTCCTTGATTTTCTTTGTTGGATTGAAAATAGTCTTCACATTGGCTTTTTTAAGTATTCGCCCAATTTTGACTCCTCTTCTCTAGATGCTCCATGAAAAGGTTGGCTACGACCTGGCTTAGTGGGCTTCCCATTGCTACTCCATCTACCTATTCATAAATCTGGTCTTCCCATGAAAAGTAGGTGGTAGTGAGGCAAATACGGAATAATTCCACCATATCCTTGGAAACTAGTCTCTCAATTTTATGTTCCTTAATAGATTATTTTCTTAAAATTTAAACAAAATGCATCCAGAGGACTCAAAGTGAAGGAATAATAATCAATGCAAGATCTATTAACAACATAAGATATGCAGATGACACCGTGATTATGGCAAGCTCTGCTGAACAACTCCAATTACTGCTAAACAAAACAAACAGTTTCTGTGAAAAATATGGACTAACAATGAACATAAAACAATTCTCTGCAACAAAGGTCTTAGATTAGAACTGAGAGTAAGAGCACTGAGATGCTACGTGTTTTCGATACTGCAATATGGACTTGAAAGCTGGACATTGAATATATAATTAATAAATAAGTTACAGTCCTTTGAAATGTGGTGTTACATGAGGATGCTTAGAATAGCATGGACACAGAAGAAAACTAACACGGAAGTATTACGAGAAATGGGCAAAGAATGCAAAATAATAAACACAATAAAAATAAGAAAGTTACAATATCTGGGACAGGTAATGAGGGGACAGCGATATGAACTGCTAAGACTAATAACACAGGGAAAGATAAGAGGAGGAAGGAGTACAGGAAGAAGGAGAGTGTCATGGTTGAATTTATTTATTTAGCGTATGGCTACATCACAGGTTCATATAAATATAAATATATAAATTATATAAATTACAAACAACAGTAAATATAAAAATATTATTCTACAAACAAACATCTAGATTATAAATATATTCGATTGACTCTTTTGTAGCAGCCAGGAAATCTGAAGGGTTGCCATTATAGGATCTAATCGGTCATTCCTCTACCATGTGTTTTACTGTTTGCCTTTCGGCGCCGCAGTCGCAATTTGGTGATTGTATTTTTCCCCATCTAAAAAGTGAGTCGGAACATCTGCCACAGTTCGTCGTTATTCTATTGAGTGTGGTCCAAATTCGTCTCGGTTGGTTGAAGCCCTCAGGTTTGCTTGTAATACATGGCATGTTCCAGTTAACTGGTGCAGCGTTATTCTCCCATTGTTCTCTCCACCGTTCAGTTACATTAAAGTTTTGATCTACTAGCCTTTTTGCTGTTTTTAGAGGCGGGTGTCTTGAACGGAGCCTATTTATGTCTCTGGCGGAAGTTCCGACATGGGAGCGGAGCTCAGGATCAGTATTGATTTTTGTAAATTCTCTGACAAGGGCATGTTCTCGGCGGATGGGTGGTGGAGCTATATGACTCAAAGTTGGTAACCAGTAAGTGGGCGTGGCCTTGATTGTGCCCGATATAGTTCGCATGGCTTGGTTGAGTTGGACATCAACACGGTAAGTATGTGGACTGTTTATCCATACTGGTGCACAGTATTCCGCTACGGGGTATACCAGTCTTAATGCTGTCGATCTAAGTGTGGGTGCTGAGGAGCCCCATGTAGTGCCGCAGAGCTTTTGCAGGATGTTGTTACGAGTTCGGAGTTTTGCAGCAGTCTTAGTAAGATGCTCTTTAAAGTTCAGCGTTCTGTCAAGTGTAACACCTAAGTATTTTGGGTGTTTATTATATTTAAGGAGTCTATCCCAAAAATTGATTTGAGGTTGATAGTTGGCCATCTTGTTATATAAATGGAAGCAGGACACTTCTGTCTTAGTTGGATTGGGTTGCAATCTCCATTTTCGGAAATAATTCCCTAAGGCATCTAAATCGTTTGTTAGAATGCGTTCAGTGACCTCGAATTCTTTATGACTTGCGGCAAGCGTCCAGTCGTCTGCGTATCCAAACTTTTTTGATGTGGTTTCTGGCATGTCTGCTATATAGAGGCTGAAAAGCAAGGGGGCCAGCACGGATCCTTGTGGAAGTCCATTATTCAGTTTTCTTTGGGTACTAGTCTTGTCTCCCAATATAACTTTAAAGCATCTGTTGGATAGCATGGCGTTAATAACCTCAGTGGTCTTTCTGCATGGGACTATTCGCATTAATTTATATATTGCCCCTTGTCGCCACACAGTGTCATAAGCAGCAGATAGATCGATGAAGACAGCGGTTGTTTTTGATTGCTTTTGAAAGTTTGATTCCACATAATTGGTCAGGGCGAGTACCTGGTCTGTGCAGCTGCGGTTTGGCCGAAATCCTGCCTGTTCCACTGGTAAGTGTTGGAATATGGTTTTGCTGATTCTATTATACAACAGTCTTTCGAACAATTTGTACACCATACTTAAGAGTGCGATGGGGCAGTAGTTTTTCGGTGAATTATTACTTTTCCCTGGTTTTAAAATGGCGACGATTTTTGCATTTTTGAGTTGGTGGGGGACGTTTCCCGTTTGAAGGATGTCAAAAAAGAATTCTGCGAGCCATTGCCTAGTGAATCTGCCGCTATGTTTGAGGAACTCAGCGTGAATAGCGTCGAAACCCGGCGCTTTTCCTGTTTTCATTTCATTTAGGGCTTGCGATATTTCTTCATGCGTAAATGGGTTGAAATATTCTGTTGACTGTGCAAGACTAGATTTTTATGGTTTTGAGGTCTTTTTTAACTTTAATTGTATGTAAACGATTTTGAGGTGCCCTAGAGGTTGACACTATGTGCGTAGCTATTTGGTCTGGAGTTACTAGGTTGGTTTGGCGAACGGGTGGGTTGCTACTTCCGAGTTTCCGCAGTAGGGACCAAGCTTGTCATGGTTGAAGAATTTAAGGGACTGGTTTAAATGCAGTTCTATAGAACTCTTCAGCGCATCACTATCTTTACTTTATCTTCAGCAGTAGATAAAGTAAAGATAGTGATGATGATATCCAACCTCCAATTGGGAGACGGCACTCCAGAGGACTATTTTTATTACCGATGTAATAAAATTAAACTGAGTCTACTGAAAGGTTAATATTATATTGTTACCTCCATATGGTTCCAAAAAACACGGTGGTATAAACATAAATCACAATGTGATTTATGTTTATACTGAAATGTTTATCATAAACTTTTGATTTCGTGTATAAGTAATACAATTATCCATTTCAGGCTTATCAATGCCAAGGAAGGTGCTTTTATCCAGTTGCTGAACATCTAAATCCAACAAAACATGCAATAGTCCAAGCTTTACTACATAGTGTGGCACCTACAAAAGTAACCAGATCTTGTTGCGTTCCTACAGTGCTAGGATCTATATCAATTTTATATGTAGACACTAACGGTGTGTTAACCTATCGCTATGCTTATAACGATATGGTGGTGGCAGAATGTGGTTGCAGGTAGTTTTTATAAGATTAGAAAATGTTGTAATTAAGTGTTGTACACTAAATACTATAAATAAACATACAAATTTAACAGTTTTTCAAAAAATCTATTATATAATATTGGTAATTTTATATTGGTCTCTTTATTCTTCTTATTTTAAGAGATTTAGGAGGCTAATATTGAAAAAGAAATAGGCTTTAAAGCCTACATACAAGAAGGAAGAAGACTTGCAGGAACTTCTGATAATGGTTTTTTTTTAATGCAACAAGTGGCTTACGGTTTGTTTCAATCTGCACTACTGTCAACATACACCTTATATAAGTTTTGAGGTTAGACTCTTCGACGTGTCACATCGCCTACGCGGTGTGTGGTGTAGAAAGGAATCAGGATGGCGCTGGCAGGATTATTCAACATTTCGGTTTATTGAATTGCCATATTAGTGAGATTCTACTGTATCTAATATCTATAATAAAAATGAAAAGGAAGGAAATGGAGATAGTTTAATTTCGGCAGGATAAAAAAAAAGATAAATTAATTCAACATATAAAATATTGCATTTATATTTTCCTAAAATAATAATAAATATCTAAATAAAGAATATAACAATAGTACATATTATAATTTAAGTAAGGTGAATACTTTAAAATTATGCAGCTACATCAAAAAATCTATCGATAATAGCCGATACTTCATCTGGTTTATGTTTTATATATTTTTCTATATTTTTTGTAAAATTCAAAGCGGCATATCTAAAAATAATTATCACAATGAGAAGATTAGACTTAAAATGATGCAAAAATCAAACTTACTTGTTATAAAAGGCATTATATCTTGGAATGATAAGTTCTTTATTATCACGTTTAATACTCTCTCTTAGTTCAATATCAGGAATAGAGTAACCTCTTTGTACTTTAGAAATGTCTTCTATTTCCTTATTAAATCCCTAAATAAATATAAATAATTATAATTCTACATATATTGTACTGTTACATTTATTTCTCGATTACTTTTTGTGTTATAAAATGTTTTATGTACTTGAGAAACCTCTCCCTAAAGTTAAGCGTATATATTTTATAGAAAATAACTTAAGGTAGACATGTGCCGCAGGGGTCGGCCCTAGTACCCACGTTGTGGAACTTGGCATATGAAGGGGTTGTGAGTCAACAATACGGAGAGGGTGTAAACCCTTTCACATTTCGTGGACGACCTCGCTATGCTGGTAGTGTCGCGGGACAGGGAGGACCTTATCTTTAATGCACAACGTACATGTCGAGGAATGGATGAAAATGCATCAGCTAGAACTGGCTGCGGGTAAGGCCGAGGCTCGAGTTCTCAAGGTACAGAGGAAAAGGGACGGGATAACATCTGAATGTGCAGGAAAGAGAGTGGTTCCAAATAAATGGGTGAGGTATTTAGGGGTGACTCTGAGCCAAAAGGGAAGATGGGGGAGCACGTAAAGGCGGTGGCTCAAAGGGCTGTGGTGAGATCCGCAGCGTTGGATGGGATCATGCCCAACATTGGAGGACCCAAAACTGAAAGGAGGTGGGCCCTTAATTCTGTTGTGCAATCGATCGTCCTCTATTCTGCGCCTGTCTGGGTTTTAACAAAGGCGTACAGAAATCAGCTCACCCGAGCAGATAGGAAGAGTCTATTGAGGGTGGCATGTGCATACAGGGCAGTCTCTGCCGAGGCGCTAGGAGTTATCACCTGGTGTATTGCGATACACGTGCTAGTGAAGGAAAGGAGAAGAATATACGAGAGAATAAATGAAGACATAGCAATAGAACCTTTCATACAAGAAGAAAGGGAGAGGTCCATAATGGTGTGACAAAGGAATGGAAGTCGCTAATTCCTAATCTGAAAAGATGGATGGACTGCGGACATCAGCGTTTGGATTACTTCCTGTTGCAGATGCTCACAGGACATGGTTGCTTCAGGGCATACCCTTACAGATTTAGAAAAGTAGATAATGAAAAATGCCTGTACTGTGAAATATCGGACACTGTCTCACACACTCTATGCGATAGAAGGATAGATGAGAGGAGTCTACTAGAGAGAGAACTAGAAAGTAGGGTACAATCAACTGGCGGAAGATATGCTTAGGTCGCCGGATCGGTGGAGAGCAATACAGAAATATGTGAGAGGAACATTAGAAAGAAAGGAACAAGAAGAAAGGCGACCTGAAGGGAGGCAGAGTGCCCTGGAGCAAGCAAGAAGATAAGAAAGAATGAGAAGGGGCTAGATTGAACATGAACAGAGGAACAGAAGAATTCAGTCGTAGTGAGAAAATACGTGAGAATTGTGCGTGAATTCACTGCTGAGAAGGTGAAAGGTATGCGCTTACGACATTAGGAAATTAGAGAAACCTATTTAAAACTATATAGCGATATTAGTTTCTTGAAATACCTTGTCCAACATTGAATAGTGGAAAGAATTGAAGAGGAGAGCTTAACATTGTTGTCAAACTTACTGTTTTTTATTTGACATGTTGTCTTTTTGTAATATTTGAAAATGTACTAATACAATCGAATTTGGGTAAATTGATTTAAATGACAGCTACTGTTTTTATTGGGAATACGCCACAATTTAACTTTAAAATAAATTTATTCTAACGCTTCGATTTTCACTTCTGAAATCGTTCGGAAAATGTATTAATTTTTTGTATTTTCAGAACGATTTCCGAAGTAGAAATCGAAACGTCAAAATAAACTTATTTTAAATTAAAATTGTGGCTTATTTCCAATAAAAGTAGTAAATTGTATTAAGATGCTACAAGAACAGAGCTTCAGGACAATTATTAAATGGCATCGTCGCATCTCACGTCGGGCAGTGGTTTGGTAGGTGGGGTCATGAAAAAAATTCGTTTCCTAAGTTATTAGTAAAAATGAATTTTAATATCCGTCTAAACTTCACAAGGATGTACTCAGTTAAGATTAAAATGGGCTACAAATTACGTTTTTAATTAAAAGTAAGATATTATTTGGTATTTTTCAAATAATATCTTTAAAACCATATTTTTGTTTAGAATTTTAGTAGTAGTAGGTGTGAAAATAAAATTAGTTCTATAACAATGAAATTAAATAAAAACAATTCCAAAAGTACTGCTTAAATAAAAAATAATTCCAAACAAATAGAAATTGTAAACCAAATAAAATTTCAAACAAACCACCACCTTGTGTCAAACAGAAACCAAATCTATTATACAACGCCTTTCTCATGGCGTTGAGTTCATTTGCTGATATGTTTTGGCTAAGTTCGATTACCTTTTGTATCAATCGCTTTAAGTTGGTGGCTTGCTCGAATTCATGTACAAATCAAAAATAAAGATCTAGGTGAGTTAGGTCGAGTGACCAAGACGGCCATTTTATTGCGCTTTTTATACTAATTCACACAGATTTTTAAAACAGAGATTTAAATTTAATATTTGTACATAAACAATTATACTTACGGCAAATTTTTCTTTAATAACAGCTCGTTCTTTGTCTTTTAATTTGTCACTATGAATATTAACGGAAGGATCATCACAACTAATATAATTCAAAAGTTTGTTCCAGCTAAAAAATTAATCATGGATATTGATTCATTTTATAAAATTGAATATATGTGTTAACAATTTTAGTAGTATCACAGAATAATAAAACATTATTATTCATTACTAAAATAGTAGTAGTATTAGTTAGTAGAAAGAAATAATTTCTTTCGCAATTTACTATTTTCCGGAAGTCTCTAGGTTTATTATTGGAATTAGTAACAAAAATTACAGTAAGCTTTTTAGCAATTTGTATTTGCCGATGATATTCAAATTTTTGTCGTTTATATACTTTGAACAAATCGGGATCCTTAGTGGCATCTGCAATGTGTTTAATAAGAGAAAGATTAGATCTGTAAGACCTTAATTCATTATTGTATAGTAAACAAGTAACAAAGAAAAATATCTGACAACCTAACCTCTCAATTGTTGATCAAAACAGTACAAAAAACATGGCGGAACTCGCTACTAGTTAAATATATAACATAAAACAAAATTACCTTAAGGAATAATTCTTCTTGTTATCCTGAATAGAAGTATAGTAATAATCTTGACAGTTGGGCTCGGAAATCAAGTAAATGTCCATTAAATTAGTTCTTTGGAGTGATTTTAATACATAATTATTATTATTTAAACGAAATAAGGATCGTAAAGCCGTGTCGCTGTATTGCTCGCTTTTACTAATTAACGTATGATTTAATTGAGCCAACACTTTTTCTAAAAATAAATGCATTAGTTAATACAAATTAAGTTGGTCTGAAACTATTTCCTTCACACACTCTTGATGACAAAAAAACACTCAGTAAGTCCGTTTTCAACTTTATGATGGGTATACCCATTTCTTCAAGCGTGCTCCATAGTTACTGCGAAAAATAGCAACGAACGTCTTGATGTAATTAATATAACATAATTGTACTGATAAATACTTAAAAATATGTAGTTTTAATATAATAATAACTTACTTATATAAAGACCCAATAGAGCTTTACTACGATCGCTAAATTTAAGTTTACCCAATTGTCTAGAATAATTTTGATCTTGTTCGAGTACTATACCAATGGTGTCGGTATAATCTAGCAATTGTTCCAAAAACATTATAACGTTACTGGTCATTTCGTGCACCGTTCCATCACTGGGCAATTGAGTAACTGAATCTGAACGGATACTGTCGACGAAATCTTCTAAAGCCTTTGCACCCTAAAATAAACAGCACGATTTATAGTTCAATATAAATAATAGTCTCCCGTTTTATACCGCACGCGGCTTTGGGAGTATAGCAGGGTAGTCTGCTATATCTAGGGCCTACGGTATACAAGGAAGGTAACATGGCCAGTGCTACGCTTCAACCGCCTATTATTACCCCTGGTTTTACCCAAGGTACTCATTTTATTCAGGCTGAGTCGACCTGGGGCCTATAGACATTTTTAAAAATGCCTAGTTGTTCTTGCCGGCGGTAGGATTCGAACTCACGACCACCGGCATGCGAGGCAAGCACACTACCGCTTGCGCTACGCGGGCCCGATTTATAGTTCAAATTAAACTGAAATACCCCTAAATAAACTTCATTTAGATATTCAGTCAAGTATGTCCGCTGTCAAACTGGTTGTCACATGCTACAATTGTCAATTGATAAACATTTACAAGTACCAGAAACAAAATTTTTAATGTAGCACCTAAATTAGTTATTTAGGAGGTCTGGCTATTGAAACGAATGCAGCATTATATAGCTGGAAGTGTCTACCCTTCTAGTACGAAAACACGTTTTTGTAGCTAAAGTAGTATTTTTTCTGTAGAGGTTAGAAAAGAACGTATTTTTCCTCGTGCCGATAACAATGTGTGACGAAAAACATGAGCAACGGATTAATGTGAAATTTCTCGGTAAATTAGAGACAAACTCCGACTGAGTGCTATAATTGGACATAGTTATGCAGAATTGATCCATCCCACACTAACATAATTTTGAGATAATTAACTTTAAAGAAAATTTAATATAACAATTTGAAATAACTATGTTTATTAATTTAAATATACACAAGTTATTTTAAGGTGTTTATTGCATCTTATGTGCGTATTTTAAAAAATAAATTATATTTATTTTTGTCATTAAATAAAAAAAAACATTTGGATCATTTCTGCAAAATTGTGTTTCTTGTGGTACAAAGCAAATTTTATTATTTGCAGATATGATCCAAAGCGGTGTTTGTCTGTATTACTGACAAATTATATTTATTTTTACCAAAGTCGGTACATAAAACAAAGATTTATTTTTGGTAACATATCTTTACATTATAAAAACATTGAAATATTTAAGTTTAGAACGAAGAAACATTATTCTGTAGAACTTTCTTCCATGGGAAAATCTAGTTCATTTCCATACCCATCTATGTCATCGGGAATATTTTTGTTTCCTGTTAACTGTAGATATATGTTTTGACAGTGTTTTGAAATAAGATCTAGCAATGACTTAATGCCTTCTAACTTTGGAGATGAAAGCTCTTTACCATTAGGCCATAGAGGCGAAAGATTTTCTGGAGTAAATATTTCTGTCAAAAGTTTACTTTTAGAATTTTTTAATATCCACTTCCACAAATTCACTATCAAAAGAATTTCTCATGAAAATGGAATACGGGTTTTCTTTTGTTAATAAAATTTCTTTGGTTTTAAGCCAATTTATGGGCTTCTTATCTGTTGATAATTTTCTATTGACGATAAGTTTTTCAAGTTTCTGTGTACTATAGAAATTTTCCTTCTTCATTCTAGTAACCACCATTGGTTTCTTCCTTTGACACGAACGCATGACATCCATGTACTCTTCTGGTGTATAAATTCGCTGCTGTAACTTAAGAGCGGATTCTATTTTGCCAAAATTGGTATCATTTGGCAGGTAGGGATGATCTTGTTCTAGAAATCTTTGTGAAATTTTCAGTAAAGTTGAATGTTTTGACAAAAAGAGTTTCAATAGCAAAACGATTTTAATATTTCTATTTTGCCCCCCACATGAATCGCTCCAAATTATTAAATGTTTCACATCAGGTTTCAGGTATTTTTCCATGTGATTAATTAAATAACTTCCAGTTTCTTGAGCTCCGCGCCCTGCTTCTCCTTCCATCCATACATAACAGTAACTTTTGTCTTCTGATCCTATGTGGATACCACAATTATATACCCATAGTTGTCGTTTAGAAAAAACGATGTTTGTAGGTATTTTTGGAAAAGGGAGAGTTTTCTGTAAATCAAATGTGATGCATTCCATTTGCGTTGCAACGTTTTTTATTTTTGTGTTAAATAAATCACATTTTAAACAAGTATCTTTGTGAAGCGATTTTGTTCGTAAATTAAATTTGTTTCAGTAAATAGACTTATATTTTTCAAACGAAACACATTTTCTTACAGGATACTTTTCAACTACCATTGCAGTATACAACTCATACAGTTTTCTTACAGTCAGATTTGGCTGAAGGAATAAGGCATTAGAGCAATTTGTTCTTCTGTAATGTAATGTGTAAGTTGGAATTGATTTTAGATGATGTATTACAAGTTTGAGGTCTTCAGAAGGAGTTTTATTCCAACCTCCCTGCTTTTGTCCTCTTTGATCAACAATGCTATCAGAGCTATCCATTTTTTTTTAAGATACGGTCACTTTTTGGGGAAAAATACCTAATGTTTTTACAAACATATCACGGCACACTATTTTTCCTGCTAAAGTATAGGTACGACTAAAATTTTTAATTTTTCTTTGTAAACCTTCGTTTAATGTGGTATAAGATCTTTTCTTTGTGTTTTGTTTTACACAAGCGTTACATTATGGAATGTAAGACTTCTGCATTTATAATGACCAACGAAAATTGCGAGAATAACATTTGCTGATATGATTCAAGCTTTTTGAATCATTACAGTGTTAAATACATTAGTGTTATTGTCTTTATTTAATTTTGTAAAAATGATTCGGGCCACTTGGATCATTTTGGCTTAAAAAATAAAGCCTCGATTTAAAATTATTTTTAAAGCGCATTAATGATCCATGTGTCTTGGTTCATTTTTGTAAATTACTCTTAAAAATATTTGAAGATTCAAGTAGCATGAATCATTACTGCACAATCGATTAAAGCTAAAAGAGCGTTAAAGGTTGGACATTTTACTATTATTACTGTTGTCTTGCATAGAAAAGGTTGGATCATTTCAGCATAATTTAGTTCCGAATTTTACCGATGCAAATTTGTGTCTAACTCATATTTTAAGAAATTGTGGAATGGATCACTTCTGCATAACTACGTCCAATTTGTTGAAAGAGGCATATGGTGAGAATTCTCTATCTCGTTCGCGTGTTTTCGAATGATATAAATGGTTTTCTGAAGGCCGAGAGAGCGCCGAAGATGATTAACGTCCAGGTCGACCTGTCTCTGTTTCAATTCCGCAACAAGATCCCTGACCAAAAGCTCGTCCGTCAAAAGATCTGCTCAGATTTTCTCGAGAGGTTCCATGAAGAGCCTGAATTAATGGAAAACATCATCACTTGCGAGAAACCTGGATATTCAAATACGATGTTGAAACTAAGCGACAATCTATGCACTGGAAAACTCCTGCATCGACAAGAATGAAAAAAGCAAGGATGTCGAAATCAAAATTTAAAGCCATGCTAATCGTTTTTTTTTACATTAACGGCATCGAGATGACTGAATGGGTTCCAGAGGGTCAAACTTTAAACCAAACTTACTATTTGAAAGTTTTGGCAACGCTGCGAAAGCGATTTACTCCCGCACCCGCCGAACACCCGCCGTACTCGCCTGATTTAGGACCCTGTAACTTTTTCCTGTTTGCGAAGATCAAGTCTGCCAAAAAAATCCGGCTTGAGTCGATGGAAGAGGTGAAGCGAAAATAGTATACTAGTTGTTCTATTGAACCATAGCTCTAAGGATAGCTTTGTAAGCCGAAAGAGCTCAGCTAAAAAATAAATATTTTACAAACTTTTAAAATACTTTTCTTTCCAACTCATTTAAATATTTTGGATGACGTTTCGTTTTAAACCATTTTGGAGTTTTAGTTCCTCTTAGGACAACACTCTAATAACGACCTTGATAGTTTATCCTGAGATTATTATAACATTAATATGTATAGATAAAATTTGAAAATGAGTTATATGGTGTTATCTATGAAATATATTGTATATCTTATCGATGTGTTCTGTGTCATATTTTAAAAATTTTAAACTTAAAAACATTTTAAAACATTATTTGATACAGTAACGATTATAGATACGAAAATAGATATACTTACCGTAGCATGAAGCATCTGAATTATCTGATCAAACTTCTGCTTAACGTTTAAATCGTATTCTTCAACAGTTCTTTCAAATTCGGGTTTCAGGTTTCGAAGTTGTTTAAAAATTGGAAATATTACAAGAACCGTAGCAAAGTCATGCCTGGCAATACATTTTTTTGCTCTGGATACGATATTCTAAAACAAATTTAAAAATTTTAACAACTTTTACAACATTGAAGTGGCATTTTAATATGATTTACTAAAAACAGCAATCTGTGAGATATATACCATCCTTGTTTATAACTTAAAATGAGAATTCTTTATTAAAAATTTGTTTCAAAATCTAAAACGTTCATGCTTTTTACAATATTTTACTGAATCACAATGATAGTACAGTTCAATGAGCTGTGCTGTTAGTTGAATTTCGACCAAATCTACTTTTTGTATATACATATTTACCTCGCCATCTTGAACAATAGTATCCATAGCTTCCCTGACGATAAGTTCAAATACCCTTGGTTGATGTGCGGGAGTTATGATATCTTTCATCAAAATTTGTTCGAATTGCATCAATCTGTGCAAAGCTATTACTGATATAAGATAATTTTCCATTTCTTGTTCATTATCTAATTCTTCCCCAATATACGATGTATCTAAAAATTAAAAAGTTTATTATATATTAACATTAAAAAAGGCAAATTTCGGAAAACTCGATTGAAGAAATTCAAGCTGGTGCTTGAAAAGAAAGATACAAATATTTATTGAAAAAAAAAAGATATAAACCTGAAACATGTATACTAATTTATTTATACAGTTACCTAAATGTGATGCCCTTCTAGTTCCTAGAGAAAGCCCAGTAGATTGCTCTAAAGTATGAGAAGCTTTGAGAAACATCTTGTTGGCTTTTCTTTCGAAAACTTGACCTATTCGTCTGGTGGATGGTTTTCTTGATGCTTCGTGTCTGTTTGGGAATTTGGGTTTCTAAAACACACAAAATATAGATTTTTGCTTTTATTAAATTGTATATAAAAATTTTAAAAATGAAAGCCTTGAGATCGTTTGCTGGGAAGCATTAAGAAGCAGAATACGAAATAACCTATAATAACCCGAAAATAATAAATAAGAGTTCTGTGTCAAATACAGGATACTATATGATGGGGAAGACAGAAATGACGGGAATTGAATAACGAATGGATAGTGAGAGACTAGTGTTGTTGTAACTGTTCAGTGGAAAACGGGAATCTTGAGTTCTTCCAGTTACTTGTTGCTAAATATTATTTGGACTTCCCGTGGTTTTAGTAAAGAACACAATACCGTGCATAAAACTATTTAATACTTCTATGTAGCTGTTATAATATAGAAAAATGACTTAATTGTTTGTATTAATACAACTAAAAAATATTACAAATATAACATTATAATAATATATTACATGTTGTTACTTCGATGAATTGAAACAGAAAAAAATGCCGAATGAGGGTTGCTAGGTAGCCTCCCAAAGGTAGGTACTTTCCAAAAAAATATCGTAACGGGAATTTCTAATCTTTCCTTAGCGACAAGCTGCCGCCAAGCGAGGCTTAGGTCGTTCCAATGACGACAGGACCGTCTTCAAACCATTTAAAGTTTTAACAACAAGCTCGAATTTTAAGTGATTTAAGATCACCAGGAAGGCCCTTTAAAATGTGTCTAAGCCACATAGATAAGAGGTTATAAGTTGCAAAGAGCAATTGCTATGCGATTGCCGCGTTCAAGACCTCGCTCACAACATTAAATACCGCGTTCATAGTAGAACGAGCTCTTCTGAATCCATATTGTGAGTTGCTGAAGTAATCAAAATAGGAATAAAATTGTTTGATAATCTTGCCAATCACTTTCCCAAAAGTAGAAACAATACTGTAATTGTCTGTTTTTGAGGAATCGCCTTTTTTCTAGATAGGTAGGACTTTTGAGTATTTTAATACTTCCGGAAATACTCCAGTTGATAGCATTAAATTAATAAGATTAGTGAAAGGTGTTAAAACTATTTGGTAAGTTTGTTTTAAAATGTTGTTATTATTTTGGGGAACGTCCCTACAATTTACTAAGAAATTTTATTATTTGAGAGACCTCTTCTTCCACAAAGCGACAAAAAAGGACTTGTTCGGAGAAGGATAATTTATATAATTGAAGAGGACATCGACATTAATAGTGGGAAGAGATGTAACTATATTCTCTGCAATTGTACTAAAAAAATGATTTATTTCGTCTGGCGGTAGATCAGGTTGTACCAAACAACTGGCAAGTAGCTGACAGTCAACGTCACAATTAAGTCTACAGCCTTAAGATCGTAAAAAACAGAGCCAAGGCTTAATATAGGATTCAAAAATGTTATACTCACTAGCATGGGCGAACTTGTTGTACCATGCACACTTCCACCGCTGACAGATTTTTGATGATTTCTTAACATCGTTAAGGACCTCTGTAACACGCTACCACGTACTTTTCCGTACACAGTTAAATATTCGTCTCTGCCATGTCCAAATAGCCAGTTTCCTATTTGGATTAACTGAGATTTTGCCTCATCGGGAATTTGTTTAGGTATGACTTTGACGTCTCTTGCGGAATCTAAAATTACAACAAAATTGAACATAAATATATTGAACAAAATATCTGTAATTGCATTACACATAAATTACAGGATTTTGCTGTTTTGATTAAGGGTTTTTATTAACGCAAAGGAGCATAAAAAATACACGAATATGTTCTCTGTGACAAACTGTATTTTCTTTAGAATTAAAGAAGTTAAACAAAGTGGTGGAGAGGGTAAATTTATTACCGAACTTAACTACCTAACAAAGATACAGAGTATTGAGAAAAACAAAACTGGTATACGGTTTAACACAAAACACCGGTGTTTCAAGCTCATCTATCACTCACGCAGCACATGCTTTTCGGGATCGACAACACATCCCGTCCCGTCTTTACTTGCCGAGAGGCAAATTCGCACTCATAGATACAGAGGGGCCCAAAAGTCTGGAAACGACCAATTATCTAGTAATTTGCTAGTCATAATTTTACAAAATTTGAAGTACACCTATTTTGGGATATGGAGATTGCATTTTAGATATTTGCAATGTTGCCAGATGTGCCGTTTCTCCTATATTATTAGTAACTTTGGTTTTTAAAATTCATCACCCTGTATATTCAATCATTATTGGAATCTCCTATTAAATACGAGTTCAATCATATGTAACACTTATGACTTTAGGTAGTCTGGAAGGTCTTAAATACATAAAACAGTGCAAAACATGTAGATTTTAATAAATTTAAATATTAATTTAAATGTAGAATGCTGTGATTTTGACATTTAATCATCATTTACATTATTAACTAAAACTGACAGTAGTTGTGTTTCGAAAAGTTCTGCAAGATAAATTGCTTCTCTAAATTGACTCTTAACGAAAAAGAACGAATGACTACTCTAATGATGAGAGGGTACGGTGACAGAAAAAGATCTTATTGTGAAGTAACCAACTTGTTCAATGATATTTTCCCAAACCGTTCGCCTATTCATAAGTCGACGATACAAAAAGGTGTAAAGCGCTTTAAGGAATCTGGAGAAGTAAAAGATAGATACCGATCAGGTAGACCGAAAAGAATTATGAATGACAACAAAACTTTAGATATAATACTTTTACAAGTTTTCTTGAAGATCCACATACACCCTCACCCAGGGTTGCACAAGTACATGATGTATGTCGTTCTTCAGTCTTACCTGTATTACGTAAGAATAAATTTAAACCATACAAAATTAACTTATTGCAAGAATTAAGTGAAGATGACTTCGATCGTAGATTAGAGTTTACTAAGGTAATGATGGATAAAATTTAAAATGATGAATATTTCGTTAACAGAATATGTTTTTCCGATGAAGCAACCTTTCCACTCTGTGGAAGTGTAAATTGACACAATTTAAGGTACTGGAGTGACGTAAATCCACACTGGAAGCGTGAAAACCATACACCAAGACCACAAAATTTAATGTATGGTCAGTTATAGTAGGTATTCAGTTATTGGTCAACAAGATGGAGCTCCAGCTCATTTTGGTATAAATGTTCAGCTTTATTTAGATAAGATATTTCCCGGACGATGGATTGGTAGACGAGGTAAAATTGAATGGCCTCCACGTTTACCTGATTTTAATGATAAAGATTATTTTTATTTGGGATACTTTAAAAATTCAGTTTAAAAAACTAAACCAGCAAGATTTGCAGAGCTAAGGCAACGAATTATCGATGAATCTCGAATTATTTCTAGACAATCATGGAGAAATGTGGTAGACGCATTCTACCATCGATTAGGGTAGTGTCAACTCAAAAATGGAGCACATTTTGAACACTTGATAAAGTATCCATTATGTAAAAAATGTTGTGATCTATCAATTGTTACGTTTTAATGTAGTTAAAAATAGTTAGTATTAAAAAATGTATTGAGACAATTAGGCGTTGCCATACTTCTGTTTTATGTATTGAAGACCTTCCAGACTACCTAAAGTTATAAGTGTTACATATGATTGAACTCGTATTTAATAGGAGATTCCAATAATGACTGAATATACAGGGTGATAAATTTGAAAAAGCAAAGTTACTAATAATATAAGAGAAGCGACAAATCTGGTAACATTGCAAATACGAAATATCGAATTTCCGTATCCCAAAATAGGTGTGCCCCAAATTTTGTACAATTATGACTAGCACTTTACGAGATAATTAGCCGTTTCCAGACTTTTGTGCCACTCTGTATATGTTCGCATTGTCGTAAGTTATATAACGCGGAGTGGAGAGAGATTATGTGGGGGAGGGTCCCAAACACATTAACACGAGAGCTGACGACCTGAGCACATAAGTTGATAAATATTACGATTACAATAATATAAATAAATAGTTTTTTATTTGCCTTTAATACAGTAAAATCCAATATTATTACTGAACATAAAATACAGGAAATTACATATTTTTAATTTTGAAGCGATCGGAATTAAATATTAACGCCCCACTGTTTGAGGCACACTGATCATATCTTAATTGCTTATCGGCTGTCATAAGATAAAAGGATTTTAGCCATTTTTGGAACCAGGCCATGGATATTATGGAAGTACTGTCGATACCCTATTACGAATTTACAGAAATAAACTCAATCCACTATGATCTTTATGTTAGAAGTCGAATAATTTCCAATTAAAAACCAGACCAGTAAAAATATAAAATCGTGATATAACATTATAATGGCCCATTATTTCCACATACTATCGCAATATTCTTGTAAAATATTGGCGAGCATAAAAGTGAAATTTTAATTCACACGATTGAAAACATATTTTTAGAACAATAATTTAATAACCGTGTAAACATCTGCTAAACTATAAAAGATAAACAAAGCAATAATTATAGGAATGAAAACTTTGTTGATAATTAGTTTTATGACAGAATGTTTAATAAAAGAAAATTTAAAACAACACGTGTCTTACTAATTACGTGCACTTAGGATAAATTCCGTTCTAAAGTAAACTGCTTCATGAAATTGACAGAACAGACGGTAAATTGAAAAGTTTTCTCGTTTTATGTAAGTATATTTAATTAGTGTTATTCTGTTCAAATCTCAAATAATATTCAACCTTCTGAAAGAAAGTTTTACCTACCACATATGTAAAAGTTTTGATAAATCTCATACAGTACATTCAACCGACTTACACCTCTAAACGATTAATGGATTTCACTTCACTTCACTTCACTTCAGGCACTTCTCTAATCTAATGGATGTACGTACTTATCGTGGAGCTAATATAGATTCAGACCACTTCTTAGTAGGCGCAAAAATAAGAGCAAGAATCTCAAATACAAAAAAAGAAAAGGGTAAGAAAAGTACTCGCTACAATTTAAAACTCTTGAAAGAGCCCCGTGCACTAGAAAGGTATCAAAGTTACCTTGAACATGAAAGCACAACAGATGAGAATTTAACAGCTAGCGAGCAATGGGATATATGTAGAAGAACAATTAAGGAAGCGGCAAACAACGTCCTAGGACCAGAAGAATTCACTCCACGCAACAGTTGGTTCGACGATGAATGTGAAGATATCACTAAAAGAAAAAATTATGCATATAAACTTATGCAACAAAGAAGAACACGGGATAAGGAGCAAATGTACAAAGATCTTGGGAAGGAGGAAAAAACGCATACATCGAAGGAAAAAGCGGACCTTCGAAAACCAGATTATGCAAGAGCTTCAATCATTAAAGGGGCAAAATGAAACTAGAAAGTTCTATAATATCCTAAATAAGACAAGAAAAGAATTTAAACCACGGCTGACGATGTGTAGAGACAAAAATGGACATATAGTCAGTACCGCTGACGCAGTACAAAGCAGATGGGTTGAGTACTTCAAAGAACTACTTGGTACCGAAGTGTAAAATGACGCGTCACCCCAAAGACCAAGAAATAACACTCACGTAGAACCTCCTTCAATATTTGAAGTGAAAGACGCAATCACACGACTCAAAAATAGCAAGTCCCCAGGAGTGGAGTGTATCCCCGCAGAGCTCATCAAACATGGAGGTAACAGCATTATGCACCAAATTCACAACATAATAGTCAAAGTCTGGAAAGAAGAACAAATGCCAGAGGAATGGTGCACTGGAATCATATGTCCACTACACAAAAAGGGAGATTTGTTGGAATGTAAAAATTATAGGGGTATAACTCTTCTGAATACAATGTACAAAATATTCTCCAACACCCTGTACAGCCGTTTAAGTACGTACGTGGAAGAAATCCTTGGTGAGTATCAAAGCGGTTTTAGGCCAGGTAGGTCAACAATTGACCAGATTTTTGTGCTACGTCAAATCTTACAAAAAAGCCAATAAATTTAATATTGACACGTTCCATCTCTTTGTGGACTTTAAGTCAGCGTATGATAGCGTCCTAAGAGGTAAATTATACGAAGCCATGAATGAACTTAACATTCCCATAAATTAATAAGGCTCGTAAAAACAACTATGAGTAAAGTGATCTGCAGAGTGCATATACAAGGCGATATGTCACAAGCGTTTGAAACATATGCAGGGTTACGGCAGGGAGACGCGCTGGCGTGCCTTCTCTTTAATATAGCGTTAGAAAAGACTATAAGAGATGCCGAGTTACACAATAGGGGAACAATATTTAATCAATCAACGCAGATTATGGCTTACGCTGACGATCTGGATTTGATTGCACGTACTACACGAGGACTTAAAGAGATGACTTCCACCTTCTTGAGAGCCGCACAAAATATGGGCCTTAAAATAAACGAGGAAAAAACCAAAATGTTAGCATCTATTCCAAATAACAGAGATAGAGCTAGAAACGCCGAACAAAACTTCAGTATAGACCAATATAATTTTGAGGTAGTAAATAAGTTTACATATTTGGGTTCTCTCATAACAAACGATAATGACACATCTGAAGAAGTTAAACGGAGGGTACTGCTAGCAAACAAATGTTATTTTGGACTAAGCAAGCAGCTAAAAAACAGAAATTTAAGCCAGAAAACCAAACTAATAATATATCGAACACTCATCCTACCAGTACTG